CAGTGAGTGTGACGGGTGTTTGTGGTCCCTCAGTGTTTCAGTGAGTGTGACGGGTGTTTGTGGTCCTCAGTGTTTCAGTGAGTGTGACGAGTGTTTGTGATCCCTCAGTGTTTCAGTGAGTGTGACGGGTGTTTGTGGTCCCTCAGTGTTTCAGTGAGTGTGACGGGTGTTTGTGGTCATCAGTGTTTCAGCGAGTGTGACGAGTGTTTGTGGTCCCTCAGTGTTTCAGTGAGTGTGACGGGTGTTTGTGGTCCATCAGTGTTGCAGTGAGTGTAACGGGTGTTTGTGGTCCCTCAGTGTTTCAGTGAGTGTGACGAGTGTTTGTGGTCCTCAGTGTTTCAGTGAGTGTGACGAGTGTTTGTGATCCCTCAGTGTTTCAGTGAGTGTGACGGGTGTTTGTGGTCCTCAGTGTTTCAGTGAGTGTGACGGGTGTTTGTGGTCCTCAGTGTTTCAGTGAGTGTGACGGGTGTTTGTGGTCCTCAGTGTTTCAGTGAGTGTGACGGGTTTTTGTGGTCCCTCAGTGTTTCAGTGAGTGTGACGGGTGTTTGTGGTCCTCAGTGTTTCAGTGAGTGTGACGGGTGTTTGTGGTCCTCAGTGTTTCAGTGAGTGTGATGGGTGTTTGTGGTCCCTCAGTGTTTCAGTGAGTGTGACGGGTGTTTGTGGTCCTCAGTGTTTCAGTGAGTGTGACGGGTGTTTGTGGTCATCAGTGTTTCAGTGAGTGTGACGGGTGTTTGTGGTCCTCAGTGTTTCAGCGAGTGTGACGGGTGTTTGTGGTCCCTCAGTGTTTCAGTGAGTGTGACGGGTGTTTGTGGTCATCAGTGTTTCAGTGAGTGTGACGGGTGTTTGTGGTCCTCAGTCTTTCAGTGAGTGTGACGGGTGTTTGTGGTCCTCAGTGTTTCAGTGAGTGTGACGGGTGTTTGTGGTCCTCAGTGTTTCAGTGAGTGTGACGGGTGTTTGTGGTCCCTCAGTGTTTCAGTGAGTGTGACGGGTGTTTGTGGTCCCTCAGTGTTTCAGCGAGTGTGACGGGTGTTTGTGGTCCCTCAGTGTTTCAGTGAGTGTGACGGGTGTTTGTGGTCCTCAGTCTTTCAGTGAGTGTGACGGGTGTTTGTGGTCCTCAGTGTTTCAGTGAGTGTGACGGGTGTTTGTGGTCATCAGTGTTTCAGTGAGTGTGACGGGTGTTTGTGGTCCCTCAGTGTTTCAGTGAGTGTGACGGGTGTTTGTGGTCCTCAGTGTTTCAGTGAGTGTGACGAGTGTTTGTGATCCCTCAGTGTTTCAGTGAGTGTGACGGGTGTTTGTGGTCCCTCAGTGTTTCAGTGAGTGTGACGGGTGTTTGTGGTCCCTCAGTGTTTCAGTGAGTGTGACGAGTGTTTGTGGTCCTCAGTGTTTCAGTGAGTGTGACGAGTGTTTGTGATCCCTCAGTGTTTCAGTGAGTGTGACGGGTGTTTGTGGTCCATCAGTGTTGCAGTGAGTGTAACGGGTGTTTGTGGTCCCTCAGTGTTTCAGTGAGTGTGACGGGTGTTTGTGGTCCCTCAGTGTTTCAGTGAGTGTGACGGGTGTTTGTGGTCCATCAGTGTTGCAGTGAGTGTAACGGGTGTTTGTGGTCCCTCAGTGTTTCAGTGAGTGTGACGGGTGTTTGTGGTCCCTCAGTGTTTCAGTGAGTGTGACGAGTGTTTGTGGTCCCTCAGTGTTTCAGTGAGTGTGACGGGTGTTTGTGGTCCATCAGTGTTGCAGTGAGTGTAACGGGTGTTTGTGGTCCCTCAGTGTTTCAGTGAGTGTGACGGGTGTTTGTGGTCCCTCAGTGTTTCAGTGAGTGTGACGGGTGTTTGTGGTCCCTCAGTGTTTCAGTGAGTGTGACGGGTGTTTGTGGTCCCTCAGTGTTTCAGTGAGTGTGACGGGTGTTTGTGGTCCCTCAGTGTTTCAGTGAGTGTGACGGGTGTTTGTGGTCCCTCAGTGTTTCAGTGAGTGTGACAGGTGTTTGTGGTCCCTCAGTGTTTCAGCGAGTGTGACGGGTGTTTGTGGTCCCTCAGTGTTTCAGTGAGTGTGACGGGTGTTTGTGGTCCCTCAGTGTTTCAGCGAGTGTGACGGGTGTTTGTGGTCCTCAGTGTTTCAGCGAGTGTGACGGGTGTTTGTGGTCCCTCAGTGTTTCAGTGAGTGTGACGGGTGTTTGTGGTCCCTCAGTGTTTCAGTGAGTGTGACGGGTGTTTGTGGTCCCTCAGTGTTTCAATGAGTGTGACGGGTGTTTGTGGTCCCTCAGTGTTTCAGCGAGTGTGACGGGTGTTTGTGGTCCCTCAGTGTTTCAGTGAGTGTGACGGGTGTTTGTGGTCCCTCAGTGTTTCAGTGAGTGTGACGGGTGTTTGTGGTCCTCAGTGTTTCAGTGAGTGTGACGGGTGTTTGTGGTCCCTCAGTGTTTCAGTGAGTGTGACGGGTGTTTGTGGTCCCTCAGTGTTTCAGTGAGTGTGACGGGTGTTTGTGGTCCTCAATGTTTCAGCGAGTGTGACGGGTGTTTGTGGTCCCTCAGTGTTTCAGTGAGTGTGACGGGTGTTTGTGGTCCCTCAGTGTTTCAGTGAGTGTGACGGGTGTTTGTGGTCATCAGTGTTTCAGTGAGTGTGACGGGTGTTTGTGGTCCTCAGTCTTTCAGTGAGTGTGACGGGTGTTTGTGGTCCTCAGTGTTTCAGTGAGTGTGACGGGTGTTTGTGGTCCTCAGTGTTTCAGTGAGTGTGACGGGTGTTTGTGGTCCTCAGTGTTTCAGTGAGTGTGACGGGTGTTTGTGGTCCCTCAGTGTTTCAGTGAGTGTGACGGGTGTTTGTGGTCCTCAGTGTTTCAGTGAGTGTGACGGGTGTTTGTGGTCCTCAGTGTTTCAGTGAGTGTGATGGGTGTTTGTGGTCCCTCAGTGTTTCAGTGAGTGTGACGGGTGTTTGTGGTCCTCAGTGTTTCAGTGAGTGTGACGGGTGTTTGTGGTCATCAGTGTTTCAGTGAGTGTGACGGGTGTTTGTGGTCCTCAGTGTTTCAGCGAGTGTGACGGGTGTTTGTGGTCCCTCAGTGTTTCAGTGAGTGTGACGGGTGTTTGTGGTCATCAGTGTTTCAGTGAGTGTGACGGGTGTTTGTGGTCCTCAGTCTTTCAGTGAGTGTGACGGGTGTTTGTGGTCCTCAGTGTTTCAGTGAGTGTGACGGGTGTTTGTGGTCCTCAGTGTTTCAGTGAGTGTGACGGGTGTTTGTGGTCCCTCAGTGTTTCAGTGAGTGTGACGGGTGTTTGTGGTCCCTCAGTGTTTCAGCGAGTGTGACGGGTGTTTGTGGTCCCTCAGTGTTTCAGTGAGTGTGACGGGTGTTTGTGGTCCTCAGTCTTTCAGTGAGTGTGACGGGTGTTTGTGGTCCTCAGTGTTTCAGTGAGTGTGACGGGTGTTTGTGGTCATCAGTGTTTCAGTGAGTGTGACGGGTGTTTGTGGTCCCTCAGTGTTTCAGTGAGTGTGACGGGTGTTTGTGGTCCTCAGTGTTTCAGTGAGTGTGACGAGTGTTTGTGATCCCTCAGTGTTTCAGTGAGTGTGACGGGTGTTTGTGGTCCCTCAGTGTTTCAGTGAGTGTGACGGGTGTTTGTGGTCCCTCAGTGTTTCAGTGAGTGTGACGAGTGTTTGTGGTCCTCAGTGTTTCAGTGAGTGTGACGAGTGTTTGTGATCCCTCAGTGTTTCAGTGAGTGTGACGGGTGTTTGTGGTCCATCAGTGTTGCAGTGAGTGTAACGGGTGTTTGTGGTCCATCAGTGTTGCAGTGAGTGTAACGGGTGTTTGTGGTCCCTCAGTGTTTCAGTGAGTGTGACGAGTGTTTGTGATCCCTCAGTGTTTCAGTGAGTGTGACGGGTGTTTGTGGTCCTCAGTGTTTCAGTGAGTGTGACGAGTGTTTGTGGTCCCTCAGTGTTTCAGTGAGTGTGATGGGTGTTTGTGGTCCCTCAGTGTTTCAGTGAGTGTGACGGGTGTTTGTGGTCCCTCAGTGTTTCAGTGAGTGTGACGGGTGTTTGTGGTCCATCAGTGTTGCAGTGAGTGTAACGGGTGTTTGTGGTCCCTCAGTGTTTCAGTGAGTGTGACGGGTGTTTGTGGTCCCTCAGTGTTTCAGTGAGTGTGACGAGTGTTTGTGGTCCCTCAGTGTTTCAGTGAGTGTGACGGGTGTTTGTGGTCCCTCAGTGTTTCAGTGAGTGTGACGGGTGTTTGTGGTCCCTCAGTGTTTCAGTGAGTGTGACGGGTGTTTGTGGTCCCTCAGTGTTTCAGTGAGTGTGACGGGTGTTTGTGGTCCCTCAGTGTTTCAGTGAGTGTGACGGGTGTTTGTGGTCCCTCAGTGTTTCAGTGAGTGTGACGGGTGTTTGTGGTCCCTCAGTGTTTCAGCGAGTGTGACGGGTGTTTGTGGTCCCTCAGTGTTTCAGCGAGTGTGACGGGTGTTTGTGGTCCCTCAGTGTTTCAGCGAGTGTGACGGGTGTTTGTGGTCCTCAGTGTTTCAGCGAGTGTGACGGGTGTTTGTGGTCCCTCAGTGTTTCAGTGAGTGTGACGGGTGTTTGTGGTCCCTCAGTGTTTCAGTGAGTGTGACGGGTGTTTGTGGTCCCACAGTGTTTCAGTGAGTGTGACGGGTGTTTGTGGTCCTCAGTGTTTCAGTGAGTGTGACGGGTGTTTGTGGTCCCTCAGTGTTTCAGTGAGTGTGACGGGTGTTTGTGGTCCCTCAGTGTTTCAGTGAGTGTGACGGGTGTTTGTGGTCCTCAGTGTTTCAGCGAGTGTGACGGGTGTTTGTGGTCCTCAGTGTTTCAGTGAGTGTGACGGGTGTTTGTGGTCCTCAGTGTTTCAGTGAGTGTAACGGGTGTTTGTGGTCCCTCAGTGTTTCAGTGAGTGTGACGGGTGTTTGTGGTCTCTCAGTGTTTCAGTGAGTGTGACGGGTGTTTGTGATCCCTCAGTGTTTCAGTGAGTGTGACGGGTGTTTGTGGTCCCTCAGTGTTTCAGTGAGTGTGACGGGTGTTTGTGGTCCTCAGGGCACTGGTTCCAGGCTGAGTTGGGAGAGGACGGCTGTTTCGTCAGCTCCGAGAGCGACAGCGACAGCGACTGAGCACATCGGCCTCCACATCAGTTTCACTGCCTATAGGACAATAATAATGCTTACACTTTATTTTAAGATGACATACTTACATTGTACTTACTCAGATATGTACGGAGTAATATTAATTAACTACATGTACTTACTATAGAGTTATGTTTAGAGTTTTGTTTAAGGTTAATTTTTTGTAATTATGCATAATTTACTGTTTACTATAGTAAGTACATGTAGTAACATGTAACTACGTCACCTTAAAATAAAGTGTTACCGTAATAATAATAATAATAATGTTTGTTTTCTTTTTAGCATTTGTGTTGAGGTATCTTTTAAACTGCGTCTTTGAGTTGCACTAGTTTTGTTATCAGTATAAATGTCCACTTGAGCGTCGACCTTGTTGTGAAGCGCTGCTTTGCTTGCAGTGCTTATAATGTGAAGTGTTTTTGTTTGTGTTCTTTTATATGAATATTTAAGTTTGTATTTCATTAATTACTACACATTGTCTAATAACATGCAATTTCACATGTTCTTTAAGAAGCAATAAAGTGACACCAAGCATACGATTTCTGTCATGGTTTGTGAACTTAGTCACCATGACACGAATGTACGCCACAACACAAAAGAAAATATCTCTGGCTTCTTCCGAGTAAAACTGTTTATCAAAAAAAAGTAGAGCGGTGCTTGGTTCTATCAGTTGTTTTTTTGTTGGTTGGAGGCTTGCAGTCGATCATAATAAAGGGGCGGGGTTTAAGTGGACTAAATGATTGGAGAAGTCCTGTGTACGTCACCAGATTGAGTTGAAATTCTGATTAGAAATTGAGGCGAGTAAAATACAAATAAAAATGCACGAATGAATCGTTTACAGTAAGATACATAAAATGTGCTTAAAAAATAAATGGGGTCAATACCCTTGCATTACAAGTAACCTGCAGTATGTAATCAGATTACTTTCTGATGCAACGAGTAATGCATTACATAATCCCTTTTTGATGTAACGAGTAAAGTAATGGTTTACAAGTAATGTACATTACATATTTACATAATCATTGTAATGCATTACTTTACTCATAACATCAGAAAAGTAATCTGATTACGTAATGCACGTTACTTGTAATGCGTTACCCCCAACCCTGCTCATTTACGATGAGATTGAAAACACCTGATCACTAGGCTTTCTCAGAGAAGAGCTATGGTAGAAATGTGTCCATCTTGAACATGATCAGGATGATCCGCTAATAAGGGTAAATCATCTGCGTTGGGTTTCCACCGCTGTACCTTGACAGGTTGAAGAGATGAAATCGCATACTCATATTCTGATATCAAAGATATGCAAAGTTCAACTTGTATGAAGTTCAATTGGGTTTGCAATATTTTGCGGGTTTTTTTGTGTATATTTTTCACATGATTTTATATATTTTTTATTCATTGGTTTGTTAAGAACATGCAATATTGCTTTGTTATTACTCTATTATGTTTAATGCAATATCTCTTTAGTTAGCAATAAAAACAAGAAAAATCCTGACTGAGGTTGTCATAATTCATGCATGAAAGTTATTTGCGAATTCCTTTTTTTAACCTTTATTAAACCCCTTCAAATAACGAACATGCATTATCTTTAATATTCATATTCCTATTGAAAGGGGAAGAAACAATAATTACAAACATCAATAAAAAAAAACGAAAAATTAAACCGAAATATGTAAAAGCAAATTATCAAATAAGCTAAATTAAACATGTCCCTTACTTAAGCAATTTAGGCATAAAAAATACTGCTGGTTCACGGTTATTCCTTGTTTTATAAGAGGATGCGATTTGATTTCATCCTCCTGACTGGGCGTGGCTTAACATGCTGAACTTGGCTCTGATTGGTCAGTTCGGAAGCATCTCTATTTTAACTCTTCACTGAATGGAAAAGTGAGGTGCGCGTCTCCCCTCCTCATCTAACACACTGTCGATAATGATACGAAATATTGTATAAGGTAATTACCAAGCGGCAACCTCCCGGTCTCTCTCTTGAAACCAACACGGAAGTGAATTAAACTGCAATTCATCTACTGGCCGCTTGAGGCAGGCTGCAGAAGAGAGTCAAATCTGTATCTCCCCATGTTAAAATGCCCAACTTTACAGCAGAAAAAAAAAACATGTTTACAGCCTGGAGCAAAAAGTGGTTTTGGTCTTTATAGCTTATTTTGCCCTTCATGACAACTGTGAGGGGGGGTGAATTTTTTTACAACTCATCCGTTTAAATTATATTAAGCCTGCATAATTAAGGGCGTGGCCACTTGAGTGACAGGTGGATTGCGGCCGTTTGTCTGTCACTTTCAGCTAATTCCAGCCGCTGCTGTACTTGCCATCTCTGCCGTGTTTGTGCTTTTTTCGGGATTATTTCATACAATTTAATACACGCATTATACCTTCACCCACGCCGTTGGATTCCGTCGTTGTCGAGTATTGAGAGAACAACCAGCGCTGTATTTCCAGTTGTTTTCCTCGCATGGACTAACGTCAATGGATTGCTAAAAATTCTATAGATATAGAGACCCCACACTCATTATGCGGTACTGTTGCTCTCACAGAACAGATATGCTTGTTTAACTTTTTAGTGTAAAATAAAAAGTACCGTCAAATGAAATCCTGCAGGTGTCAGTGCTTTCTCTCCGCTGTATGACCATGAGGAATGATTACCTCAGAATGTACGTCCATATGCAAGTTTGAGAGACTTTATTTAAATTAAATACATACTTTAGCTATTGTCATGTGTTAGGGACTATGCCATAGGCTGCCGACCCCTGATCTAGAGCTTTATAGTGGACATTTATGTCATAAATATTTGTGTCAGACTGAACAATACAAACGGTGAGTTAGTATTTTATTCTTCATTTACCTCATAGAGCATTTGTACAATTTTCAGGAAATGAAACAAAAGTGCATTTTATGTTTATTTTTACATTTTCTTTTAATGATGTTTTATCAACAAAGTTCGGGAGGAGCACGTTCAGTCAATTAACACGAGTGGAGTGCACTCCGCAATCAATGATAAGAGGTATATATAGATTCAGCAATCTCACCTCACTCCATTGATAGTTTAGCAGCATCCCTCCACTGCCCCTTCTCCACACTTCCAGTCCTAAACACTTACAAAGGGGGGAGTACTCTGGGTTCGGGCCAAACTCCGAGCTCGGAGCCCTCCCCCCGGACAGCACACCAAATACGCATCAAATCTTATCCACTCTAATTATATGTAAGTGTGAACTCGTGAAATGTTCCTAAATCCGAACCGCTGAAGACGCAGTGGCTGAGTTTTGTTTTCGAAGGGAATATTCCCCACGATCAGAGTCAATGCTTTCATGTTTGCACGAATCATTTCTCACCAGACTGCTTTATAAACGAGTGTCAGTATGAGCTGGTTTTGCTAAGAAGCTGCTCCTGAAAAAAGAATCGGTACCAACTATTCGTGTTCCTGCGGCAACTCCAGAAGAAGTGAGTGTAAAGTTTTATTAACCTTTATATTAATCTTTGCAAATCGCGCAAAAAAGTTTTTCATGACCATTAACTGTAACATCAATCTGTCAACGAACAAACGTATACATCAGTAAACGCATAACGTTCGTATCGCACTACTCTACCCTGCCAGTACACAAAGATAGATCAAAGTCACATTACGTTAACCAACCATTCAGAAACGGCCTGTTCGAGCCTTAATTGTTGAACTTCTTCGGGGCCGTCATCTTAGTTCCGGGTCCGACTCCAGCTCAAACTGATACGCTTGCACAGATGTGTCCTCAGAGACTCCCCCTGCCATTCTTTCTCCAAAATACACCCTCAACTCTTGTCAAGGCAACACTCCATGTGTGTTGTGTCAAAACGCCCCACAGAACGGAGGAGCGGAGTTCAAAACTCATTATCATTTAAAGACACATGAACGGCGTGCTGAAAACAGAGCTGTTTTTGACCAGGTAAAGAGACCCCCGACTACCTGACGCCCTTAACTCCTTTTATGCCCGGTTTGAGGCATTAAACAACATCCTGTAATCCTGACGTCACATGTCTTTACGGGGATGTGTGAACGCACTCACAAATTCCGGAAGATCACTGGCAGTTGGAATGAACCAAAATCAAACGATCCCAGGACACATTATCCGTATATTTTCCGGAATCTCTGTGTGAAAGGGGCTTAGAATGAACCTCACTGGTTCTTGCTGAAGCTCAAATGTGCTGCATAATACATGAGAATGAACCTTATTCATTTTTGCTGAAGCTCAAACGTGCTGTATAACACTAGAATTAACCTCACTGTTTTTTGTTAAAGCTCACACATGTTGTGTAACACCAGAATGAACCTCATTGGTTCTTTTGGATACTCAAAATACTCAGGAAGCTCAAACGTGCTGCGTAACACCAGTGTGTTGCTTTTTCGAACCACAATTGGTTCGATTGATTCGTATTTTCGAAAAAGCCAAGTTTCTCCCAACACCACCTCCAGTGCGAAATCCACTAATATGTGATTTTATGTATGTTTAATAAGGGTGGAAAAGAACAAGGAATAACTTTATTCTTGTGAACCAATGGAATCACCCAGTTGCATAAACTCCCACTCATACAAGTCTGGAGAATCATGACTGTTAACGAAGAGGGAGGGATTATCATTAATTTGCCCAAATCTGTAGAGTACAAAAGGACCAAAGGGCAGCATCTCAACAGTGTGACTAGCTGTTGAACAATGGCAGGAAGTTGGTATGCTGTTCAGTCTCTGGCACTTTGTGTCTGGTTCGGTGTTTTCTGTCATGCTGTTCCAAAGTGGAGTAATCTTCCCCAGAATCCTCAAACTCTGATGTTCCAGCAAACTGACCAGCGGTTTCAACAACCAGTTCAACAGCAAGCTAGTCAACAGTTTTCTCCGCAGTTTCCCCAGTCAGTTCAACAAGCTAGTCAACAGTTTCCCCAGTCGATTCAACAGCAAACTAGTCAACGGTTTCCTCAGCCAGTTCAACAAGCTAGTCAACAGTTTCCTCAGTCAGTTCAACAGCAAGCTAGTCAACAGTTTCCTCAGCAGTTTCAGCCTAAGCAGCCAGTGGCACAGGCAGAGCCCCTTGACAAATGTACTGTAGCTGATTATGAGCAAATCCAATGTGGACCACCTGGTATCAGTGGTGCTGAGTGTGCAGCTATTAACTGCTGCTTTAACGGACAGCAGTGTTACTATGGGAAGGCAGGTAAGAGTGTTGAGTAAATGTAAAGGTGTTCATGTTAAACTGATCTTCAGCAATAACCTGCTCTTGTACCTTGTTTCAGTGACTGTCCAGTGTATAAGAGATGGTCAGTTTGTGGTAGTGGTGGCTAGAGACGTTACGCTGCCTCGATTGAGCCTGGATTCAGTCCGTCTCCTGGGTGGAAATGATCCAGCTTGCAGTCCTGTGGGATCCACACCTTTCTTTGCTATATATCAGTTCCCTGTCACTGCATGTGGCACAAGCATGATGGTGAGTAGCTGCTTGTGGTTTTGTTCTGCATGGCTTGGGATGGACTGGATTCCAATGGTTACTATTTGCAGGAGGACAGTGGATACGTGGTGTATGAAAACAGAATGACCTCCTCGTATGAAGTGGGTATGGGACCACTTGGTTCCATCACAAGGGACAGCCATTTTGAGTAAGTGATGCATGCTTTATCATAAATGTTAATCCTGGACAAATGCTACAAGCTCACTGTTTGTTGTCCAGGCTTCTCTTCCAGTGTAGGTACTCTGGTACATCTGTGGAAGCTCTGGTTGTGGAGGTCAACACTGTTCCTCCACCTCCACCAGTAGCTGCTCCTGGACCCCTCAGAGTGGAGCTTAGACTGGCAAATGGTCAATGTGTCACCAAAGGCTGTGCAGAAGGTAAGTGTTTGTCCCAAGTATGCCTAAAGCCTTTCTAAAACTCCAGTTTGCAGAAGTTTCAAGTTGGACACTGTATTCTTCCTCAGGGGACGAGGCGTACACGTCCTACTACAGTGATGCTGATTATCCGGTCACAAAAGTCTTGCGGGAACCTGTGTATGTTGAGGTGCACATTTTGGAGAGGACCGACCCCAACATTGTCTTGATGCTGGGACATTGCTGGGCGACATCAACCCCTAGTCCACTCAGTCTACCCCAGTGGGACCTTCTGGTTGATGGGTAAGGCCAGTCTTTATCCATCTAGTGTGCAGTAAGGCGTTTCTGACTGCCTCTTTGCCTTTCAGATGCCCTTACCAGGATGATCGTTACCTGACCACATTGGTTCCAGTGGCTGGATCATCTGGTCTTCAGTTCCCAACCCACTACAAGCGCTTTGTTGTGAAGATGTTCACATTTGTAGATCCAGCATCACTGGCTCCTCTGCAGGAAACGGTACAGTACCCAGTGTGTCAGTTTTCAACTGTCTCTTGGTTCCTAATGCCAGCTTTGGTTCTCGTCTCAGGTCTTCATCCATTGCAGTACAGAGGTGTGCCATCCCTCTTCTGGCTCTTGTCAGCAAAGTTGCTCCAGGCAAAGTCAGTGCTTCCTGTTATTTTAAACTGTTTAATTTAGCTTGTGTTGTGGGAGTGTTAATTTTTATTTGTTTGTTTTCTTGCACTTTTAGGAAGGGACGTTCGTTTAAACACTACCACTTCTGGCCAAACTGTGGTTTCTAGTGGAGAAGTGAGACTGATTCTATGAGTATTTAATAAATGATATTAAACCTTGACCTTGTGTGACCACATTTTGTGCAACGCTACCAACATGAAGATGTTCTTGTTTTATTTGGTATTTTGAGGACAACTGTAACTTTCAGACTTTTACAAATCTCCCTGGGCCTCTATGGGAGGCAGGTGGATCATAAAGCACCTGTCAACTTGTTCTCATTGGTTCTTGCTGTAGCTCAAATGTGTTGCATAAAACAAAAGAACCTCGTTGGTTCTTGCCGAAGCTCAAACGTGCTGTGTAACACACTAGAATGAACCTCGTTGGTTCTTGCCGAAGCTCAAATGTACTGCGTAACACTAGAGCCCCTTTCACAGAGTGCATTGGTCCTGGGAAATTGCCATAAAATTGCTAGAGTACCTTCTGTGTGAACGCAAACACATCCTGGGACTGATGCCGGAATCAGTCCCGGAATGTGACTTGTGTGAACAAAAGCCAGGACCAATGGTGTAAGGGCTGTGTCGTAGTGATGAAGCTAATGCTGGGTACACACCAAAAGATTTTTTACATCTTATAAGATTTTCAAAATGTGATAGACCACAAACATGAGGACAAAAAATCCTAGATTTAAGTGTTTTGCTCCTATAGTTTGTGGTGTGCCATGATGTGACAAAGACAGCACACCACACACGAACAGATTTTCAACCAGAGTCTCGACTGTGAACAAAGGAAATCTCACAAAATCTCGCGAGACTTCAGAATAAGCTTGGCGGACGATATGCAGCAAGAAATTGCGATGATAGTGTTTGGAATGATTTTCACAGAAAAACATTCGTACTGTTGCCACAAATCAACAAGCTGATCCTCCATCTCTGCTGTCCACATCAATTTAACTTTTTGCAACGCCATGACTGCGTTTGTTATGCTTCCATCTTCCATCATCTCGCTTTCTGATTGGATATTGTTTCGTTTCACGTGATAATCTCCAGAGCGTGCGCACGTTTGTCATCGGGGTTCCCCCCACACATCAGGATTTCTGATCTTAAATATTCAACATGTTGAATATTTACGATTCGCGATCGGGGCGGCTCCGACGTTCTTCCGAGCAGGTTCGGACACTCTTAACACACCTCACACCAAGGGAAAATCTGATAAGATAATCTGTAGAACCATCAAGATAATCAGGACATAGCTAGGATTGTCGGAAGGGGGAAAATCGGCCCAAAACCAGCCCGATTATCTTTTGGTGTGTACCCAGCATTAGATAATTCGTCAGCTTAGCGGCACAGTATGCAATGCGCTACTTTATGGTTGAATCAGAAAAAAAAAAGCATGAGTGTTATTTCTTGAGAGAAATTGCAGATCATAAGCAAACTTAGACGCTGTAGAGATATTACACGTCACATCCTGACGTCACATGTCTTTATGGGGATGTGTGAACACACTCACAAATTCCGGAAGATCACTGGCAGTGTGAATGAACCAAAATCAAACGATCCCGGACACATTATCCGTATATTTTCCAGAATCTCTGTGTGAAAGGGGCTTAGAATGAACCTTATTCGTTTTTGCTGAAGATCAAACGTGCTGTATAACACTAGAATTAACGGTTACACTTTATTTCGATAGTCACTTTAGACATTCTACTAACTATAAGTAACTTTTCAACTACATGTCAACTAACTGTCATTAGAGTATTAGTAGACTGTAGGAGACTGTCAAAAGACTGTTAGGTTATGGTTAGGTGTTAGGGTTCGGGTTAGGAGAACAAGTTTACTTGTAGTTGCGAAGTTACTTATAGTTAGTAGAGTGTCTGTTAGGGGGCCAACAAAATAAATCGTTAGCAGATATTAAGCAGACAGTCTACTAATACTCTAATGACAGTTAGTTGACATGTAGCTCCAAAGTTACTTATAGTTAGTAGGATGTCTAAAGTGGACTATCAAAATAAAGTGTTACCGAATTAACCTCACTGGTTTTTGTTAAAGCTCACACATGCTGTGTAACACGAGAATGAACATCACTGGTTCTCGAGGAAGCTCAAACGTGCTGCGTAACAGCAGAGTGTTGCTTTTTCGAACCACAATTGTTTCGATTGATTCGTATTTTCGAAGAAGCCAAGTTTCTCCCAACACCACCTCCAGTGCGAAATCCACTAATATGTGATTTTATGTATGTTTAATAAGGGTGGAAAAGAACAAGGAATAACTTTATTCTTGTGAACCAATGGAATCACCCAGTTGCATAAACTCCCACTCATACAAGTCTGGAGAATCATGACTGTTAACGAAGAGGGAGGGATTATCATTAATTTGAGTACAAAAAGACCAAAGGGCAGCATCTCAACAGTGTGACTAGCTGTTGAACAATGGCAGGAAGTTGGTATGCTGTTCAGTCTCTGGCACTTTGTGTCTGGTTCGGTGTTTTCTGTGATGCTGTTCCAAAGTGGAGTAATCTTCCCCAGAATCCTCAAACTCTGATGTTCCAGCAAACTGACCAGCGGTTTCAACAACCAGTTCAACAGCAAGCTAGTCAACGGTTTTCTCCGCAATTTCCTCAGTCAGTTCAACAGCAAGCTAGTCAACAAGCTAGTCAACGGTTTTCTCCGCAATTTCCTCAGTCAGTTCAACAGCAATCTAGTCAACGGTTTCCTCAGCCAGCTCAACAAGCTAGTCAACAGTTTCCTCCGCAGTTTCCTCAGTCAGTTCAACAGCAAGCTAGTCAACAGTTTCCTCAGCAGTTTCAGCCTAAGCAGCCAGTAGCACAGGCAGAGCCCCTTGACAAATGTACTGTAGCTGATTATGAGCAGATCCAATGTGGACCACCTGGTATCAGTGGTGCTGAGTGTGCAGCTATTAACTGCTGCTTTAACGGACAGCAGTGTTACTATGGGAAGGCAGGTAAGAGTGTTGAGTCAATGTAAAGGTGTTCATGTTAAACTGATCTTCAGCAATAACCTGCTCTTGTACCTTGTTTCAGTGACTGTCCAGTGTATAAGAGATGGTCAGTTTGTGGTAGTGGTGGCTAGAGACGTTACGCTGCCTCGATTGAGCCTGGATTCAGTCCGTCTCCTGGGTGGAAATGATCCAGCTTGCAGTCCTGTGGGATCCACACCTTTCTTTGCTATATATCAGTTCCCTGTCACTGCATGTGGCACAAGCATGATGGTGAGTAGCTGCTTGTGGTTTTGTTCTGCATGGCTTGGAATGGACTGGATGCCAACGGTTACTATTTGCAGGAGGACAGTGGATACGTGGTGTATGAAAACAGAATGACCTCCTCGTATGAAGTGGGTATGGGACCACTTGGTTCCATCACAAGGGACAGCCATTTTGAGTAAGTGATGCATGCTTTATCATAAATGTTAATCCTGGACAAATGCTACAAGCTCACTGTTTGTTGTCCAGGCTTCTATTCCATTGTAGGTACTCTGGTACTTCTGTGGAAGCTCTGGTTGTGGAGGTCAACACTGTTCCTCCACCTCCACCAGTAGCTGCTCCTGGACCCCTCAGAGTGGAGCTTAGACTGGCAAATGGTCAATGTGTCACCAAAGGCTGTGCAGAAGGTAAGTGTTTGTCCCAAGTATGCCTAAAGCCTTTCTAAAACTCCAGTTTGCAGAAGTTTCAAGTTAAACACTGTATTCTTCCTCAGGGGACGAGGCGTACACGTCCTACTACAGTGATGCTGATTATCCGGTCACAAAAGTCTTGCGGGAACCTGTGTATGTTGAGGTGCACCTTTTGGAGAGGACCGACCCCAACATTGTCTTGATGCTGGGACATTGCTGGGCAACATCAACCCCTAGTCCACTCAGTCTACCCCAGTGGGACCTTCTGGTTGATGGGTAAGGCCAGTCTTTATCCATCTAGTGTGCAGTAAGGTGTTTGACTGCCTCTTTGCCTTTCAGATGTCCTTACCAGGATGATCGTTACCTGACCACATTGGTTCCAGTGGCCGGATCATCTGGTCTTCAGTTCCCAACCCACTACAAGCGCTTTGTTGTGAAGATGTTCACATTTGTAGATCCAGCATCACTGGCTCCTCTGCAGGAAATGGTATAGTACCCAGTGTGTCAGTTTACAACTGTCTCTTGGTTCCTAATGTCAGCTTTGGTTCTCGTCTCAGGTCTTCATCCATTGCAGTACAGAGGTGTGCCATCCCTCTTCTGGCTCTTGTCAGCAAAGTTGCTCCAGGCAAAGTCAGTGCTTCCTGTTATTTTAAACTGTTTAATTTAGCTTGTGTTGTGGGAGTGTTAATTTTTATTTGTCTGTTTTCTTGCACTTTTAGGAAGGGACGTTCGTTTAAACGCTACCACTTCTGGTCAAACTGTGGTTTCTAGTGGAGAAGTGAGACTGATTCTATGAGTATTTAATAAATTATATTAAACCTTGACCTTGTCTGACCACATTTTGTGCAACACTACCAACATGAAATTGTTCTTGTTTTATTTGGTATGTTGAGGACAGCTGTAACTTCAAGACTTCTACAAATCTCCCTGGGCCTCTATGGGAGGCAGGTGGATCATAAAGCACCTGTCAATTTTTTCTCATTGGTTCTTGCTGTAGCTCAAATGTGTTGCATAAAACAAATTAACCTTGTTGCATCTTGCTGAAGCTCAAACGTGCTGCGTAACACTAGAGCCCCTTTCACACAGTGCGTTGATCCTGGGAAATTGCCATAAGATTGCTAGAGTACCTTCTGTGTAAACGCAAACACGTCCTGGGACTGATGCCGGAATCAGTCCCGGAACGCGCCTTGTGTGAACAAAAGCCAGGACCAATGGTGTAAGGGCTGTGTCGTAGTGATGAAGCTGAGATAATTCGTCAGCTTAGTGCATAGGTCGACAACCCGTGGCTCTAGAGCCGCATGCGGCTCTTAAGCGCCACTCTAGTGGCTCCCTGGAGCTTTTTTAAAAATTTGAACATGGAAAAAGTATTTTGTTTTAATTTCTGTAGGAGGAAAAACATGACAAACAGTCTTAAAGTTTTTCAACATTGTAAAAATGTGTATAATAAATATTTAATTTCAACGTTTCTATCAACGAAGAATTTAGAACAAAATAGAAACGATTTACACGCCAGAATTTCTATTCGTAACATGTTTGCAGCGTTGAGTGATATAGCCAATCACAGACATGTGTTGATTTCTTGAACCCAATGGCCAATCAGAAGCATTTAAGAGACTCCCCTCACCGCTCAAAACTGACTTTTTTGTTCAGAGCTGAATTCTGTATGCTGGCAAATCCTCTAATTATAATGAACAAAGTGTGGATATTATGAAAGATTCATTGTGCAGTCAGCTTCATTGATAATTGTCGTGTCTTTTGAATAATGACTCTGGATTCGAACTGTGTGAACGTGTTTAATTTACTTCCTTTAGGCAACGTTTAACATAACAATATAACATATTGAATTTAGAACAACATAACAATTACAACATAACAATTTAGAACAACATAATTCATTGGCGCTTCCTCGTCGCACTTCCCGCGACATCATCTCCATTGCGCCAACCTCGAACACCATAGCAATGACACCACATCTCCCCTTTCTAAAGATCAAAGGGTAGACTACCTTTGTCTCAACAGACCTTAGAGGATTATTCTGACTATTTTGCTGGAAGGTCTGCTCCTATCTAATTAACATTTGTCTTCATATTTTGAACAATCTTTTTTTCTGTATGTACATTAAGTGGGCAATGCATTTGTAACTATAATGCAATAGTTAACCACACACACTTGTTTACAGGTTCAACCTTACAGGTTTCACGACCCGTCTCCCACACCTAGTTCTAGGTGTTGACACCAAGTCAGGAATGTCCTGCTCCTCTGATTCCTGAGTGACAGGGTGTGACTCAGAGAATGTATCCGAGGACCGATCTTGTATATCACTTTTATCCTCCTTAGCTGATGCTTGCAAAGGTACCAGATGGTGGCGGTTACGTCTCACAGTCCCATACTGCGTATTCACAAGGTAAGAGCGTGGAGCAAAGTGACTGGCAACAATCGTTCCTGATTCTTTAGCATCAGACACCCAGACTACTTCTCCTGGTTGTAGGTCCTCCTGGTCCTGAGTTTTCTAGCTCTGTGATGTTTATTGAAGCGCTCTGCATCCGCACTCTTTCTTCCCTTCTCTTTTATGAACATTGCATCAGTATCAGGGAGTGCTGGATCTAGCAACGATGAGAGTGTGGGCACAGTTGTTCGCAGCCTTCTTCCCATAAGAAGCTGAGCTGGGCTGTACCCATTCTGCAAGGGAGTAGCATGATATGTTAGGAGAGCAAGGTAAGGGTCATTAGCTTTCTTGAAAAGAGCCTTTATTGTCTTGACCGCACGTTCAGCCTCTCCATTGCTCTGGGGAAACTTTGGGCTGCTAGTAACGTGGACAAATCCATACGAAGCAGCAAAGGATGAAAATGAGTGCCCAGAGAATTGTGGCCCGTTGTCTGTAATTAGCGTCTCTGGAACTCCATGACGTGCGAATATGGACTTCATGTGGACAATGACGTCAGTAGACCTGCTGAGTGATAACTGAGCAATCTCCACATACCTGGAATAGTAGTCCTCCACAAGCAGGTACGTTTTAGTTCCCAGCATGAATAAATCAGCCCCTAACCTTTGCCAGGGTCTGTCTGGAAACTGAGTGGGCATGAGTGGTTCTTTTGGCTCCTTGAGGCATGTCCTGCAGTTGAGCACCATTTCCTTCAGCTGATTACTTAACACTGGCCACCATACTGAGAGCATCCAGAACTTGAGATCCTAAGAGACTCAGTAATGGCCTGTGGTCAGTTTCCAATTCAAAATGTTTGCCAATGTTTGCCAATGAGAAAGTCCTTGAATCTTTCGATTGCCCATGTGAGCCCCAAGGCTTCTTTTTCCACTTGAGCGTATCTCTGCTCGGTCTGAGTAAGAGATCTTGATGCATTAGCTATTGGCTTCCAACCTTCTGGCCACCTCTGCAGTAGGACGGCTCCCAGTCCGTAGGACGAAGCATCCGCTGACACTTTACAGTCTCTATTGCGTCATAGATGGCCAGAACAGGGGGGGGGGACGACAGTGCGTCTTTCAGAGCCTGGAACGCATTGGCTTGTTCAATGTCCCAAATCCAACAGTTCTTTTTCTACAGCAGGTCTCGGATAACTTTGTCTTTGTCTACCAGTTGGGGAATAAACTTCCCAAGCTGATTTACCATCCCCAGGAAGCTCCGCAATTCACTCACATTTGAGGGCTCCGTCATGTCCCTAATGGCTGCTGTTTTCATTGGGTCGGGACTAATACCATCGGCAGAAATAATGTGCAGATGTGCAATGCCCAGAAGTGCAGTGTGCATTTTTTTGATTATGTACACATCTTCCTCAGACTGTTTTTCACCTCTCTTCAGCAGCAGACTAGTAACTCCGACAACATCTAAGGGAACTTGCCCTGGACCTAGCAATGGCCTTGTTGCCTCCTTGAGGGTAGGTAGATCTTTATTAAAAATCTCCTCGAACACCTCTACTGGAATGACAGTGACATCCACGCCGGTATCAATCTTAAACGGCACACGTTTGTGTCCAATGTCCAAGTCCACCATCCATGGTTCCCCAGCACCTGTGATGCTGCCAAGAAATATAGGGTCCCCCTCACACACTTCACGCACAGTTTTTGATGATGTGCACACCCGCTTGTAGTGGCCTTTTTTCCCACAGGAGTGACATTTTACGTCATTTGCTGGACAGTCACGTTTTGCGTGAGCTGGGGAGCTACCACACTTATGGCACTGGTTGCTATTCATCTTGCTGGAGTGTGCTATATGTGATTTTAGTTTAGGACCATTTCCTTTTTGAGGTCTCCCCGCGTTATACTTTCCTTTGTACACTCTATCGACAGAGCCTGCATCTGCAGCAACAGTGTCTGTCAAACTTCTCAGCGCAGCTTGCTGTCGTTTCACCTCCTCACTTTGCCGCGCCATTGCGATTGCTTTTTCCAAGGTCAGCTCATGATCCAGCTGCATACGCTCTGAAAGCCGTCTGTCAGCCAACCCCACAACGAGCCGGTCCCGAATTAACTCGTCATGTAATGCTAAATAATTACAATGTTCGGCCAGAGCATACAAAGCTGTCACAATTGAATCAACTGTCTCATTTTCTTCCTGTTTACGCATATTGAAACGTGCCCGTTCGTAAATTACATTTCTCTTCCCAATGAAATGAGTCTCGAAACCTGCTTTTACTGCGTCATACTTTGTTTTGTCAGTGTCTGCCAGTGGTAACCCACGGAGAATATCATCCGCCTCATCTCCCATGCAGTAAATGAAAGTATTCACCTGGTTTTCATCTGAATTTTCTTGCAAGTTGCTAGCCCATCGGAACCGTTCAAACCTCCGGATCCATTTTGCCCATTGTTGTGGCTTAGAAAAGTCGAACGGCTCGGGCAGCCGTATGCTGAACGTAGCGCTCGGTCCCGCTGCTCTCAGTGCAGCGACCGCAATATCTCCGCCATCCATTTCAGCTCGCACGTTCTATCCACATATCCGGGCTTCGCAAGCAAAACTAAAGCAGGTAACACGTCAAACTACAGCACTTCTGACACCATGTCGTGTCTTTTGAATAATGACTCTGGATTCGAACTGTGTGAACGTGTTTAATTTACTTCCTTTAGGCAACGTTAAACATACATAACAATTCACTGGCGCTTCCTCGTCGCACTTCCCGTGACATCATCTCCATTGCGCCAACCTCGAACACCATAGCAACAACACCACAATAATAACAGAGATGTGTGAGATCGCGATGAACTGTCAGCTTTTTAGGAATTATTAAGAGAGCGCACTTTCCGCGCATTCAGTCATGCCAAACCATGCACGCAGTAAACTGCTTGCTTTTATGTTAAATTAACAGTGGTTTGCAGGGTTCTCAAGTCTCACGCATTGGCCGTGAGACACACGCAATTCAACCAGTTCACACGCTCACACGCCACACCATGTGTTTCTCACGCTGAAAAGGCAATGCCAACCAAGTTGTCCTGCAAGCTTTATATAACGTTGTATACGAGGCGCAGGCACACAAAGTGAAGTTTCCTGCCGCCAGCGCGTCCGTATCTCGGCCAGATTGCGTTCGTTACTAGGCAACATATGCGTGAAGTCCGCGAACACACGGAAGTTGACGGACATATTCTCGGCCACCGCGACATCGCGCGAACACACGTCGTCATGGAGAATGTAAGTTGGAAGAAAGCTCGCAAAACATTTTTAGGCTAGAACATTTAATATATAGCCCCTCGTATACATTACTGATGCAGTCAAAAACTCTAAAACTACTTTGCAACCAGGCCAGAAGCTTTGACTCAGTTTGGCTAGTTATCTGAAACTAAGGGAAATGTTATGGGAAGGAATTAAGATGTATTTCTTAATTTTATTTTAAATTATATATTATTCTGTATTAATAGTCTTTCTAGTTACATTAAGGCTACGTGTATTAAAGCAGAGTGCCCTGGGTAATATTTTATATCCTGTCAAAACATACTAATCATAGCCTAATCATTGCTATTGCATTTGTATTTTTCAAAGATGTCAGGGAAAAATGCAAAAAGATTTGTTTTTCCAAACTGTTTGAAACAATTTGTTATTTGTAATTTTGAAATATAACATTAAAGAGTAGGCCTATATTTGATGTGATGAATTGCTCTGTCATTTATCAGATTTACCAACTGCTATAATTTCAATTTGTGCTGGTTATTATGAACAATGGGTAAAATTGGGGGAGGGGGCGGGGCTCAATTAAGGCTCCTCCCCTAACCGCATGTGATCTCACTCCAAGCTTTTGATCAAACTTGAGAACCCTGGTGGTTTGTGTTTTAATGCTTTAATAACAAATCATTTATCAGGAGGATATGGTGGCGACACGTGGGCTAACTTGAAAGTATTTGGAGGTACAGAAAAAAGTCTATTTGCGTGCAAGCATGAGCGCTATTTCTTGAGAAATCGCAGATCATAAGCAAACTTAGACGCTGTGGAGATATTACACGTCACATCCTGACGTCACATGTCTTTACGGGGATGTGTGAAAAATTCCGGAAGATCACTGGCAGTGTGAATGAACCAAAATCAAACGATCCCGGGACACATTATCCGTATATTTTCCAGAATCTCGTGTGTGAAAGGGGCTTAGAATGAACCTCACTGGTTCTTGCTGAAGCTCAAATGTGCTGCATAATACATGAGAATGAACCTTATTCATTTTTGCTTAAGCTCAAATGTGCTGTATAACACTAGAATTAACCTCACTGGTTTTTGTTAAAGCTCACACATGCTGTGTAACACGAGAATGTCAATGTCACCTTTATTTATATAGCACTATTCAAACAACACAAGTTGACCAATGTGCTTTACATTCTCACTGAAAAATAGAAAGAGAAACATACTACAATAGTAATAGAATAAAAAATAAAAAAAACATTTAAGACGAATAAGCCATGGCAAACAGATATGTCTTAAGTTGTACTTTAAAAACATGTACAGAGTCAGCATCCTTAACATATGATGGCAAACTATTCCAAAGTCTTGGCACTACTACTGCAAAAGCCCGATCCCCTTTCTGGCTTAACTTAGTCCGTGGAATTTTCAGAAACTTTTGAGTTGATGATCTCAAGGTTCTTCCTGATTGATACTCTATTAACAGAGCTGATAAATAAGTCGGTGTAAGGTCATGGAGTGATTTATACACCAATAAAAGAAGTTTAAAATCAATTCTATATTGTACAGGAAGCCAATGTAGAGCGATCAAAGATGGAGTGATGTGTTCTCGTTTTTTAATATTCAATAATAATCTTGCTGCCGCATTTTGGACCTTTTGCAGCCGTAAAATAGAAGCTTGACTAATACCCTTATATAAAGAGTACTGATATATAGCAGGGAAATATATTCCTCAGAGAATGAACCTCATTGGTTCTTTTGGATACTCAAAAAGTGCTGCATAACACAAGAATGAACATCACTGGTTCTCGAGGAAGCTCAAACGTGCTGCGTGCTACCAGTGTGTTGCTTTTTCGAACCACAATTGGTTCGATTGATTTGTATTTTCGAAAAAGCCAAGTTTCTCCCTACACCACCTCCAGTGCGAAATCCACTAATATGTGATTTTATGTATGTTTAATAAGGGTGGAAAAGAACAAGGAATAACTTTATTCTTGTGAACCAATGGAATCACCCAGTTGCATAAACTCCCACTCATACAAGTCTGGAGAATCATGACTGTTAACGAAGAGGGAGGGATTATCATTAATTTGCCCAAATCTGTAGAGTACAAAAAGACCAAAGGGCAGCATCTCAACAGTGTGACTAGCTGTTGAACAATGGCAGGAAGTTGGTATGCTGTTCAGTCTCTGGCACTTTGTGTCTGGTTTGGTGTTTTCTGTCATGCTGTTCCAAAGTGGAGTAATCTTCCCCAGAATCCTCAAACTCTGATGTTCCAGCAAACTGACCAGCGGTTTCAACAACCAGTTCAACAGCAAGCTAGTCAACAGTTTTCTCCGCAGTTTCCTCAGTCAGTTCAACAGCAAGCTAGTCAACGGTTTCCTCAGCCAGTTCAACAAGCTAGTCAACAGTTTCCCCAGTCGATTCAACAGCAAGCTAGTCAACAGTTTTCTCCGCAGTTTCCTCAGTCAGTTCAACAGCAAGCTAGTCAACGGTTTCCTCAGTCAGTTCAACAGCAAGCTAGTCAACAGTTTCCTCCGCAGTTTCCTCAGTTAGTTCAACAGCAAGCTAGTCAATGGTTTCCTCAGCCAGTTCAACAAGCTAGTCAACAGTTTCCCCAGTCAGTTCAACAAACTAGTCAACGGTTTCCTCAGCCAGTTCAACAGCAAGCTAGTCAACAGTTTCCCCAGTCGGTTCAACAGCAAGCTAGTCAACAGTTTCCTCAGCAGTTTCAGCCTAAGCAGCCAGTGGCACAGGCAGAGCCCCTTGAAAAATGTACTGTAGCTGATTATGAGCAGATCCAATGTGGACCACCTGGTATCAGTGGTGCTGAGTGTGCAGCTATTAACTGCTGCTTTAACGGACAGCAGTGTTACTATGGGAAGGCAGGTAAGAGTGTTGAGTCAATGTAAAGGTGTTCATGTTAAACTGATCTTCAGCAATAACCTGCTCTTGTACCTTGTTTCAGTGACTGTCCAGTGTATAAGAGATGGTCAGTTTGTGGTAGTGGTGGCTAGAGACGTTACGCTGCCTCGATTGAGCCTGGATTCAGTCCGTCTCCTGGGTGGAAATGATCCAGCTTGCAGTCCTGTGGGATCCACACCTTTCTTTGCTATATATCAGTTCCCTGTCACTGCATGTGGCACAAGCATGATGGTGAGTAGCTGCTTGTGGTTTTGTTCTGCATGGCTTGGAATGGACTGGATGCCAACGGTTACTATTTGCAGGAGGACAGTGGATACGTGGTGTATGAAAACAGAATGACCTCCTCGTATGAAGTGGGTATGGGACCACTTGGTTCCATCACAAGGGACAGCCATTTTGAGTAAGTGATGCATGCTTTATCATAAATGTTAATCCTGGACAAATGCTACAAGCTCACTGTTTGTTGTCCAGGCTTCTCTTCCAGTGTAGGTACTCTGGTACGTCTGTGGAAGCTCTGGTTGTGGAGGTCAACACTGTTCCTCCACCTCCACCAGTAGCTGCTCCTGGACCCCTCAGAGTGGAGCTTAGACTGGCAAATGGTCAATGTGTCACCAAAGGCTGTGCAGAAGGTAAGTGTTTGTCCCAAGTATGCCTAAAGCCTTTCTAAAACTCCAGTTTGCAGAAGTTTCAAGTTAAACACTGTATTCTTCCTCAGGGGACGAGGCGTACACGTCCTACTACAGTGATGCTGATTATCCGGTCACAAAAGTCTTGCGGGAACCTGTGTATGTTGAGGTGCACATTTTGGAGAGGACCGACCCCAACATTGTCTTGATGCTGGGACATTGCTGGGCGACATCAACCCCTAGTCCACTCAGTCTACCCCAGTGGGACCTTCTGGTTGATGGGTAAGGCCAGTCTTTATCCATCTAGTGTGCAGTAAGGCGTTTCTGACTGCCTCTTTGCCTTTCAGATGCCCTTACCAGGATGATCGTTACCTGACCACATTGGTTCCAGTGGCTGGATCATCTGGTCTTCAGTTCCCAACCCACTACAAGCGCTTTGTTGTGAAGATGTTCACATTTGTAGATCCAGCATCACTGGCTCCTCTGCAAGAAACGGTACAGTACCCAGTGTGTCAGTTTACAACTGTCTCTTGGTTCCTAATGTCAGCTTTGGTTCTCGTCTCAGGTCTTCATCCATTGCAGTACAGAGGTGTGCCATCCCTCTTCTGGCTCTTGTCAGCAAAGTTGCTCCAGGCAAAGTCAGTGCTTCCTGTTATTTAAACTGTTTAATTTAGTTTGTGTTGTGGGAGTGTTAATTTTTGTTTGTTTTCTTGCACTTTTAGGAAGGGACGTTCGTTTAAACGCTACCACTTCTGGCCAAACTGTGGTTTCTAGTGGAGAAGTGAGACTGATTCTATGAGTATTTAATAAATGATATTAAACCTTGACCTTGTCTGACCACGTTTTGTGCAACGCTACCAACATGAAATTGTTCTTGTTTTATTTGGTATGTTGAGGACAGCTGTAACTTCCAGACTTCTACAAATCTCCCTGGGCCTCTATGGGAGGCAGGGGGATCATAAAGCACCTGTCAACTTGTTCTCATTGGTTCTTGCTGTAGCTCAAATGTGCTGCGTAACACTAGAGCCCCTTTCACACAGTGCGTTGATCCTGGAAAATTGCCATAAAATTGCTAGAGTACCTTCTGTCTGAACGCAAACACGTCCTGGGACTGATGCCGGAATCAGCTTAGTGCATAGACCCGTGGCTCTAGAGCTGCATGCGGCTCTTAAGCGCCGCCCTAGTGGCTCCCTGGAGCTTTTTTGCAAATTTGAAAATGGAAAATATTTTGTTTTAATATTATTTCTGTAGGAGGAAAAACATAACAAACATTCTTAAAGTTTTTCAATGTTGTAAAAATGTGTATAATAAATATTTAATTTCAACATTTCTGTCAACGAAGAATTTATGTCATAGACTGACACACACGTGTCTGTCAGATCGGCGTGATGCCAGACCGGTGGCTAACAAACAAACCGGCGGATGGGCCATGGATCCCAAGGGGAAAAAGAGAAATATAGCTTAGCACTCCCAACGCAATAGTGCGGCGCGGGACTAGATTTGATGGCTGAGCGCGTGCGGTAATGCACTCACTCTACTAAAACAAAATAGAAACAATTTACAGGCCAGAATTTCTATTCGTAACATGTTTGCAGCGTTGAGTGATATAGCCAATCACAGACATATGTGTTGATTTCTTGAACGCAATGGCCAATCAGAAGCATTTAAGAGACTTCCCTCACCGCTCAAAACTGACTTTTTTGTTAAGTGCTGAATTCTGTATGCTGGCAAATCCTCTAATTATAACAAACAAAGTGTGGATATTATGAAAGATTCATTGTGCAGTCAGCTTCATTGATAATAACAGAGATGTGTGAGATCGCGATGAACTGTCAGCTTTTTAGGAATTATTAAGAGAGCGCACTTTGCGCGCATTCAGTCATGCCAAACCAGGCATTGCTTTTGTTAAATTAACAGTGGTTTGTGTTTTAATAACAAATAATTTATCAGGAGGATGTATGGTGGCAACAAGTAGGCTAACTTGAAAGTATTTGGAGGTACAGAAAAAAGTCTATTTGCGGGCGGAAGCGGGACAAAACATAAATGTTGCGGGCGGGAGAAAGAAAGTTGAGAACGTCAGTTATAACGACCCACGCATTAAAAAATGGTCGGGTTAAAATCGGGCTTGGGCTCATAATTACGTTTAATGGGCCGGGCCGGGCTTGATTTTTTGGGCCCGATCTAAGCTCTAATTTGTAGCCAACTTATCATTTTGATACTAGGGGGCTAATAAAGCTAATATAACACTTACAGCATGTGTTGCCTTCATTATAAGGCTTATATAAAGCTTTAAATTTTTTGCGGCTCCAGAATGATTTTTTTTTGGTCCAATATGGCTCTTTCAACATTTTGGGTTGCCGACCCCTGGCTTAGTGGAACGGTATGTAATGCGCTAGTTTATGGTCGAATCAGAAAAAAAAAAGCATGAGCGTTATTTCTTGAAAAATCGCAGATCATAAACAAACTTAGACGCTGTGGAGATATTACACGTCACATCCTGACGTCACATGTCTTTAAGGGGATGTGAATGCACTCACAAATCCAGGAAGATCACTGGCAGTGTGAATGAACCAAAATCAAACGATCCCGGGACACATTATCCGTATATTTTCCAGAATCTCTGTGTGAAAGGGGCTTAGAATGAACCTCACTGGTTCTTGCTGAAGCTCAAATGTGCTGCATAATACATGAGAATGAACCTTATTCGTTTTTGCTGAAGCTCAAACGTGCTGTATAACACTAGAATTAACCTCACTGGTTTTTGTTAAAGCTCACACATGCTGTGTAACACGAGAATGTCAATGTCACCTTTATTTATATAGCACTATTCAAACAACACAAGTTGACCAATGTGCTTTACATTCTCACTGAAAAATAGAAAGAGAAACATACTACAATAGTAATAGAATAAAAAATTAAAAAAAACATTTAAGACGAATAAGCCATGGCAAACAGATATGTCTTAAGTTGTACTTTAAAAACATGTACAGAGTCAGCATCCTTAACATATGATGGCAAACTATTCCAAAGTCTTGGCGCTACTACTGCAAAAGCCCGATCCCCTTTCTGGCTTAACTTAGTCCGTGGAATTTTCAGCAACTTTTGAGTTGATGATCTCAAGGTTCTTCCTGATTGATACTCTATTAACAGAGCTGATAAATAAGTCGGTGTAAGGTCATGGAGTGATTTATGCACCAATAAAAGAAGTTTGAAATCAATTCTATATTGTACAGGAAGCCAATGTAGAGCGATCAAAGATGGAGTGATGTGTTCTCGTTTTTTAATATTCAATAATAATCTTGCTGCCGCATTTTGGACCTTTTGCAGCCGTAAAATAGAAGCTTGACTAATACCCTTATATAAAGAGTACTGATATATAGCAGGGAAATATATTCCTCAGAGAATGAACCTTATTGGTTCTTTTGGATACTCAAAAAGTGCTGCATAACACAAGAATGAACATCACTGGTTCTCGAGGAAGCTCAAACGTGCTGCGTAACACCAGTGTGTTGCTTTTTCGAACCACAATTGGTTCAATTGATTCGTATTTTCGAAAAAGCCAAGTTTCTCCCAACACCACCTCCAGTGCGAAATCCTCTAATATGTGATTTTATGTATGTTTAATAAGGGTGGAAAAGAACAAGGAATAACTTTATTCTTGTGAACCAATGGAATCACCCAGTTGCATAAACTCCCACTCATACAAGTCTGGAGAATCATGACTGTTAACGAAGAGGGAGGGATTATCATTAATTTGCCCAAATCTGTAGAGTACAAAAAGACCAAAGGGCAGCATCTCAACAGTGTGACTAGCTGTTGAACAATGGCAGGAAGTTGGTATGCTGTTCAGTCTCTGGCACTTTGTGTCTGGTTCGGTGTTTTCTGTCATGCTGTTCCAAAGTGGAGTAATCTTCCCCAGAATCCTCAAACTCTGATGTTCCAGCAAACTGACCAGCGGTTTCAACAACCAGTTCAACAGCAAGCTAGTCAACGGTTTCCTCAGCCAGTTCAACAAGCTAGTCAACAGTTTCCCCAGTCGATTCAACAGCAAGTTAGTCAACAGTTTCCCCAGTCAGTTCAACAAGCTAGTCAACGGTTTTCCCAGTCGATTCAACAGCAAGCTAGTCAACGGTTTCCTCAACCAGTTCAACAAGCTAGTCAACAGTTTCCCCAGTCAGTTCAACAGCAAGCTAGTGAACAGTTTCCCCAGTCGGTTCAACAGCAAGCTAGTCAACGGTTTCCTCAGTCAGTTCAACAAGCTAGTCAACAGTTTCCCCAGTCAGTTCAACAAGCTAGTCAACGGTTTCCTCAGCCAGTTCAACAAGCTAGTCAACAGTTTCCCCAGTCGATTCAACAGCAAGCTAGTCAACGGTTTCCTCAGCCAGTTCAACAAGCTAGTCAACAGTTTCCCCAGTCAGTTCAACAGCAAGCTAGTCAACAGTTTCCCCAGTCGGTTCAACAGCAAGCTAGTCAACAGTTTCCTCAGCAGTTTCAGCCTAAGCAGCCAGTGGCACAGGCAGAGCCCCTTGACAAATGTACTGTAGCTGATTATGAGCAGATCCAATGTGGACCACCTGGTATCAGTGGTGCTGAGTGTGCAGCTATTAACTGCTGCTTTAATGGACAGCAGTGTTACTATGGGAAGGCAGGTAAGAGTGTTGAGTCAATGTAAAGGTGTTCATGTTAAACTGATCTTCAGCAATAACCTGCTCTTGTACCTTGTTTCAGTGACTGTCCAGTGTATAAGAGATGGTCAGTTTGTGGTAGTGGTGGCTAGAGACGTTACGCTGCCTCGATTGAGCCTGGATTCAGTCCGTCTCCTGGGTGGAAATGATCCAGCTTGCAGTCCTGTGGGATCCACACCTTTCTTTGCTATATATCAGTTCCCTGTCACTGCATGTGGCACAAGCATGATGGTGAGTAGCTGCTTGTGGTTTTGTTCTGCATGGCTTGGAATGGACTGGATGCCAACGGTTACTATTTGCAGGAGGACAGTGGATACGTGGTGTATGAAAACAGAATGACCTCCTCGTATGAAGTGGGTATGGGACCACTTGGTTCCATCACAAGGGACAGCCATTTTGAGTAAGTGATGCATGCTTTATCATAAATGTTAATCCTGGACAAATGCTACAAGCTCACTGTTTGTTGTCCAGGCTTCTCTTCCAGTGTAGGTACTCTGGTACGTCTGTGGAAGCTCTGGTTGTGGAGGTCAACACTGTTCCTCCACCTCCACCAGTAGCTGCTCCTGGACCCCTCAGAGTGGAGCTTAGACTGGCAAATGGTCAATGTGTCACCAAAGGCTGCGCAGAAGGTAAGTGTTTGTCCCAAGTATGCCTAAAGCCTTTCTAAAACTCCAGTTTGCAGAAGTTTCAAGTCAAACACTGTATTCTTCCTCAGGGGACGAGGCGTACACGTCCTACTACAGTGATGCTGATTATCCGGTCACAAAAGTCTTGCGGGAACCTGTGTATGTTGAGGTGCACCTTTTGGAGAGGACCGACCCCAACATTGTCTTGATGCTGGGACATTGCTGGGCGACATCAACCCCTAGTCCACTCAGTCTACCCCAGTGGGACCTTCTGGTTGATGGGTAAGTAAGGCCAGTCTTTATCCATCTAGTGTGCAGTAAGGCGTTTCTGACTGCCTCTTTGCCTTTCAGATGCCCTCACCAGGATGATCGTTACCTGACCACATTGGTTCCAGTGGCCGGATCATCTGGTCTTCAGTTCCCAACCCACTACAAGCGCTTTGTTGTGAAGATGTTCACATTTGTAGATCCAGCATCACTGGCTCCTCTGCAGGAAATGGTATAGTACCCAGTGTGTCAGTTTACAACTGTCTCTTGGTTCCTAATGTCAGCTTTGGTTCTCGTCTCAGGTCTTCATCCATTGCAGTACAGAGGTGTGCCATCCCACTTCTGGCTCTTGTCAGCAAAGTTGCTCCAGGCAAAGTCAGTGCTTCCTGTTATTTTAAACTGTTTAATTTAGCTTGTGTTGTGGGAGTGTTAATTTTTATTTGTCTGTTTTCTTGCACTTTTAGGAAGGGACGTTCGTTTAAACGCTACCACTTCTGGCCAAACTGTGGTTTCTAGTGGAGAAGTGAGACTGATTCTATGAGTATTTAATAAATTATATTAAACCTTGACCTTGTCTGACCACATTTTGTGCAACACTACCAACATGAAATTGTTCTTGTTTTATTTGGTATGTTGAGGACAGCTGTAACTTCAAGACTTCTACAAATCTCCCTGGGCCTCTATGGGAGGCAGGTGGATCATAAAGCACCTGTCAATTTTTTCTCATTGGTTCTTGCTGTAGCTCAAATGTGTTGCATAAAACAAATTAACCTTGTTGCATCTTGCTGAAGCTCAAACGTGCTGCGTAACACTAGAGCCCCTTTCACACAGTGCGTTGATCCTGGGAAATTGCCATAAGATTGCTAGAGTACCTTCTGTGTAAACGCAAACACGTCCTGGGACTGATGCCGGAATCAGTCCCGGAACGCGCCTTGTGTGAACAAAAGCCAGGACCAATGGTGTAAGGGCTGTGTCGTAGTGATGAAGCTGAGATAATTCGTCAGCTTAGTGCATAGGTCGACAACCCGTGGCTCTAGAGCCGCATGCGGCTCTTAAGCGCCACTCTAGTGGCTCCCTGGAGCTTTTTTAAAAATTTGAACATGGAAAAAGTATTTTGTTTTAATTTCTGTAGGAGGAAAAACATGACAAACAGTCTTAAAGTTTTTAAACAATGTAAAAATGTGTATAATAAATATTTAATTTCAACGTTTCTATAAACGAAGAATTTAGAACAAAATAGAAACGATTTACACGCCAGAATTTCTATTCGTAACATGTTTGCAGCGTTGAGTGATATAGCCAATCACAGACATGTGTTGATTTCTTGAACCCAATGGCCAATCAGAAGCATTTAAGAGACTCCCCTCACCGCTCAAAACTGACTTTTTTGTTCAGAGCTGAATTCTGTATGCTGGCAAATCCTCTAATTATAATGAACAAAGTGTGGATATTATGAAAGATTCATTGTGCAGTCAGCTTCATTGATAATTGTTGTGTCTTTTGAATAATGACTCTGGATTCGAACTGTGTGAACGTGTTTAATTTACTTCCTTTAGGCAACGTTTAACATAACAATATAACATATTGAATTTAGAACAACATAACAATTACAACATAACAATTTAGAACAACATAATTCATTGGCGCTTCCTCGTCGCACTTCCCGTGACATCATCTCCATTGCGCCAACCTCGAACACCATAGCAATGACACCACATCTCCCCTTTCTAAAGATCAAAGGGTAGACTACCTTTGTCTCAACAGACCTTAGAGGATTATTCTGACTATTTTGCTGGAAGGTCTGCTCCTATCTAATTAACATTTGTCTTCATATTTTGAACAATCTTTTTTTCTGTATGTACATTAAGTGGGCAATGCATTTGTAACTATAATGCAATAGTTAACCACACACACTTGTTTACAGGTTCAACCTTACAGGTTTCACGACCCGTCTCCCACACCTAGTTCTAGGTGTTGACACCAAGTCAGGAATGTCCTGCTCCTCTGATTCCTGAGTGACAGGGTGTGACTCAGAGAATGTATCCGAGGACCGATCTTGTATATCACTTTTATCCTCCTTAGCTGATGCTTGCAAAGGTACCAGATGGTGGCGGTTACGTCTCACAGTCCCATACTGCGTATTCACAAGGTAAGAGCGTGGAGCAAAGTGACTGGCAACAATCGTTCCTGATTCTTTAGCATCAGACACCCAGACTACTTCTCCTGGTTGTAAGTCCTCCTGGTCCTGAGTTTTCTAGCTCTGTGATGTTTATTGAAGCGCTCTGCATCCGCACTCTTTCTTCCCTTCTCTTTTATGAACATTGCATCAGTATCAGGGAGTGCTGGATCTAGCAACGATGAGAGTGTGGGCACAGTTGTTCGCAGCCTTCTTCCCATAAGAAGCTGAGCTGGGCTGTACCCATTCTGCAAGGGAGTAGCATGATATGTTAGGAGAGCAAGGTAAGGGTCATTAGCTTTCTTGAAAAGAGCCTTTATTGTCTTGACCGCACGTTCAGCCTCTCCATTGCTCTGGGGAAACTTTGGGCTGCTAGTAACGTGGACAAATCCATACGAAGCAGCAAAGGATGAAAATGAGTGCCCAGAGAATTGTGGCCCGTTGTCTGTAATTAGCGTCTCTGGAACTCCATGACGTGCGAATATGGACTTCATGTGGACAATGACGTCAGTAGACCTGCTGAGTGATAACTGAGCAATCTCCACATACCTGGAATAGTAGTCCTCCACAAGCAGGTACGTTTTAGTTCCCAGCATGAATAAATCAGCCCCTAACCTTTGCCAGGGTCTGTCTGGAAACTGAGTGGGCATGAGTGGTTCTTTTGGCTCCTTGAGGCATGTCCTGCAGTTGAGCACCATTTCCTTCAGCTGATTACTTAACACTGGCCACCATACTGAGAGCATCCAGAACTTGAGATCCTAAGAGACTCAGTAATGGCTTGTGGTCAGTTTCCAATTCAAAATGTTTGCCAATGTTTGCCAATGAGAAAGTCCTTGAATCTTTCGATTGCCCATGTGAGCCCCAAGGCTTCTTTTTCCACTTGAGCGTATCTCTGCTCGGTCTGAGTAAGAGATCTTGATGCATTAGCTATTGGCTTCCAACCTTCTGGCCACCTCTGCAGTAGGACGGCTCCCAGTCCGTAGGACGAAGCATCCGCTGACACTTTACAGTCTCTATTGCGTCATAGATGGCCAGAACAGGGGGGGGGACGACAGTGCGTCTTTCAGAGCCTGGAACGCATTGGCTTGTTCAATGTCCCAAATCCAACAGTTCTTTTTCTACAGCAGGTCTCGGATAACTTTGTCTTTGTCTACCAGTTGGGGAATAAACTTCCCAAGCTGATTTACCATCCCCAGGAAGCTCCGCAATTCACTCACATTTGAGGGCTCCGTCATGTCCCTAATGGCTGCTGTTTTCATTGGGTCGGGACTAATACCATCGGCAGAAATAATGTGCAGATGTGCAATGCCCAGAAGTGCAGTGTGCATTTTTTTGATTATGTACACATCTTCCTCAGACTGTTTTTCACCTCTCTTCAGCAGCAGACTAGTAACTCCGACAACATCTAAGGGAACTTGCCCTGGACCTAGCAATGGCCTTGTTGCCTCCTTGAGGGTAGGTAGATCTTTATTAAAAATCTCCTCGAACACCTCTACTGGAATGACAGTGACATCCACGCCGGTATCAATCTTAAACGGCACACGTTTGTGTCCAATGTCCAAGTCCACCATCCATGGTTCCCCAGCACCTGTGATGCTGCCAAGAAATATAGGGTCCCCCTCACACACTTCACGCACAGTTTTTGATGATGTGCACACCCGCTTGTAGTGGCCTTTTTTCCCACAGGAGTGACATTTTACGTCATTTGCTGGACAGTCACGTTTTGCGTGAGCTGGGGAGCTACCACACTTATGGCACTGGTTGCTATTCATCTTGCTGGAGTGTGCTATATGTGATTTTAGTTTAGGACCATTTCCTTTTTGAGGTCTCCCCGCGTTATACTTTCCTTTGTACACTCTATCGACAGAGCCTGCATCTGCAGCAACAGTGTCTGTCAAACTTCTCAGCGCAGCTTGCTGTCGTTTCACCTCCTCACTTTGCCGCGCCATTGCGATTGCTTTTTCCAAGGTCAGCTCATGATCCAGCTGCATACGCTCTGAAAGCCGTCTGTCAGCCAACCCCACAACGAGCCGGTCCCGAATTAACTCGTCATGTAATGCTAAATAATTACAATGTTCGGCCAGAGCATACAAAGCTGTCACAATTGAATCAACTGTCTCATTTTCTTCCTGTTTACGCATATTGAAACGTGCCCGTTCGTAAATTACATTTCTCTTCCCAATGAAATGAGTCTCGAAACCTGCTTTTACTGCGTCATACTTTGTTTTGTCAGTGTCTGCCAGTGGTAACCCACGGAGAATATCATCCGCCTCATCTCCCATGCAGTAAATGAAAGTATTCACCTGGTTTTCATCTGAATTTTCTTGCAAGTTGCTAGCCCATCGGAACCGTTCAAACCTCCGGATCCATTTTGCCCATTGTTGTGGCTTAGAAAAGTCGAACGGCTCGGGCAGCCGTATGCTGAACGTAGCGCTCGGTCCCGCTGCTCTCAGTGCAGCGACCGCAATATCTCCGCCATCCATTTCAGCTCGCACGTTCTATCCACATATCCGGGCTTCGCAAGCAAAACTAAAGCAGGTAACACGTCAAACTACAGCACTTCTGACACCATGTCGTGTCTTTTGAATAATGACTCTGGATTCGAACTGTGTGAACGTGTTTAATTTACTTCCTTTAGGGAACGTTAAACATACATAACAATTCACTGGCGCTTCCTCGTCGCACTTCCCGTGACATCATCTCCATTGCGCCAACCTCGAACACCATAGCAACAACACCACAATAATAACAGAGATGTGTGAGATCGCGATGAACTGTCAGCTTTTTAGGAATTATTAAGAGAGCGCACTTTCCGCGCATTCAGTCATGCCAAACCATGCACGCAGTAAACTGCTTGCTTTTATGTTAAATTAACAGTGGTTTGCAGGGTTCTCAAGTCTCACGCATTGGCCGTGAGACACACGCAATTCAACCAGTTCACACGCTCACACGCCACACCATGTGTTTCTCACGCTGAAAAGGCAATGCCAACCAAGTTGTCCTGCAAGCTTTATATAACGTTGTATACGAGGCGCAGGCACACAAAGTGAAGTTTCCTGCCGCCAGCGCGTCCGTATCTCGGCCAGATTGCGTTCGTTACTAGGCAACATATGCGTGAAGTCCGCGAACACACGGAAGTTGACGGACATATTCTCGGCCACCGCGACATCGCGCGAACACACGTCGTCATGGAGAATGTAAGTTGGAAGAAAGCTCGCAAAACATTTTTAGGCTAGAACATTTAATATATAGCCCCTCGTATACATTACTGATGCAGTCAAAAACTCTAAAACTACTTTGCAACCAGGCCAGAAGCTTTGACTCAGTTTGGCTAGTTATCTGAAACTAAGGGAAATGTTATGGGAAGGAATTAAGATGTATTTCTTAATTTTATTTTAAATTATATATTATTCTGTATTAATAGTCTTTCTAGTTACATTAAGGCTACGTGTATTAAAGCAGAGTGCCCTGGGTAATATTTTATATCCTGTCAAAACATACTAATCATAGCCTAATCATTGCTATTGCATTTGTATTTTTCAAAGATGTCAGGGAAAAATGCAAAAAGATTTGTTTTTCCAAACTGTTTGAAACAATTTGTTATTTGTAATTTTGAAATATAACATTAAAGAGTAGGCCTATATTTGATGTGATGAATTGCTCTGTCATTTATCAGATTTACCAACTGCTATAATTTCAATTTGTGCTGGTTATTATGAACAATGGGTAAAATTGGGGGAGGGGGCGGGGCTCAATTAAGGCTCCTCCCCTAACCGCATGTGATCTCACTCCAAGCTTTTGATCAAACTTGAGAACCCTGGTGGTTTGTGTTTTAATGCTTTAATAACAAATCATTTATCAGGAGGATATGGTGGCGACACGTGGGCTAACTTGAAAGTATTTGGAGGTACAGAAAAAAGTCTATTTGCGTGCAAGCATGAGCGCTATTTCTTGAGAAATCGCAGATCATAAGCAAACTTAGACGCTGTGGAGATATTACACGTCACATCCTGACGTCACATGTCTTTACGGGGATGTGTGAAAAATTCCGGAAGATCACTGGCAGTGTGAATGAACCAAAATCAAACGATCCCGGGACACATTATCCGTATATTTTCCAGAATCTCGTGTGTGAAAGGGGCTTAGAATGAACCTCACTGGTTCTTGCTGAAGCTCAAATGTGCTGCATAATACATGAGAATGAACCTTATTCATTTTTGCTTAAGCTCAAATGTGCTGTATAACACTAGAATTAACCTCACTGGTTTTTGTTAAAGCTCACACATGCTGTGTAACACGAGAATGTCAATGTCACCTTTATTTATATAGCACTATTCAAACAACACAAGTTGACCAATGTGCTTTACATTCTCACTGAAAAATAGAAAGAGAAACATACTACAATAGTAATAGAATAAAAAATAAAAAAAACATTTAAGACGAATAAGCCATGGCAAACAGATATGTCTTAAGTTGTACTTTAAAAACATGTACAGAGTCAGCATCCTTAACATATGATGGCAAACTATTCCAAAGTCTTGGCACTACTACTGCAAAAGCCCGATCCCCTTTCTGGCTTAACTTAGTCCGTGGAATTTTCAGAAACTTTTGAGTTGATGATCTCAAGGTTCTTCCTGATTGATACTCTATTAACAGAGCTGATAAATAAGTCGGTGTAAGGTCATGGAGTGATTTATACACCAATAAAAGAAGTTTAAAATCAATTCTATATTGTACAGGAAGCCAATGTAGAGCGATCAAAGATGGAGTGATGTGTTCTCGTTTTTTAATATTCAATAATAATCTTGCTGCCGCATTTTGGACCTTTTGCAGCCGTAAAATAGAAGCTTGACTAATACCCTTATATAAAGAGTACTGATATATAGCAGGGAAATATATTCCTCAGAGAATGAACCTCATTGGTTCTTTTGGATACTCAAAAAGTGCTGCATAACGCAAGAATGAACATCACTGGTTCTCGAGGAAGCTCAAACGTGCTGCGTGCTACCAGTGTGTTGCTTTTTCGAACCACAATTGGTTCGATTGATTTGTATTTTCGAAAAAGCCAAGTTTCTCCCTACACCACCTCCAGTGCGAAATCCACTAATATGTGATTTTATGTATGTTTAATAAGGGTGGAAAAGAACAAGGAATAACTTTATTCTTGTGAACCAATGGAATCACCCAGTTGCATAAACTCCCACTCATACAAGTCTGGAGAATCATGACTGTTAACGAAGAGGGAGGGATTATCATTAATTTGCCCAAATCTGTAGAGTACAAAAAGACCAAAGGGCAGCATCTCAACAGTGTGACTAGCTGTTGAACAATGGCAGGAAGTTGGTATGCTGTTCAGTCTCTGGCACTTTGTGTCTGGTTTGGTGTTTTCTGTCATGCTGTTCCAAAGTGGAGTAATCTTCCCCAGAATCCTCAAACTCTGATGTTCCAGCAAACTGACCAGCGGTTTCAACAACCAGTTCAACAGCAAGCTAGTCAACAGTTTTCTCCGCAGTTTCCTCAGTCAGTTCAACAGCAAGCTAGTCAACGGTTTCCTCAGCCAGTTCAACAGCAAGCTAGTCAACAGTTTTCTCCGCAGTTTCCTCAGTCAGTTCAACAGCAAGCTAGTCAACGGTTTCCTCAGTCAGTTCAACAGCAAGCTAGTCAACAGTTTCCTCCGCAGTTTCCTCAGTTAGTTCAACAGCAAGCTAGTCAATGGTTTCCTCAGCCAGTTCAACAAGCTAGTCAACAGTTTCCCCAGTCAGTTCAACAAACTAGTCAACGGTTTCCTCAGCCAGTTCAACAGCAAGCTAGTCAACAGTTTCCCCAGTCGGTTCAACAGCAAGCTAGTCAACAGTTTCCTCAGCAGTTTCAGCCTAAGCAGCCAGTGGCACAGGCAGAGCCCCTTGACAAATGTACTGTAGCTGATTATGAGCAGATCCAATGTGGACCACCTGGTATCAGTGGTGCTGAGTGTGCAGCTATTAACTGCTGCTTTAACGGACAGCAGTGTTACTATGGGAAGGCAGGTAAGAGTGTTGAGTCAATGTAAAGGTGTTCATGTTAAACTGATCTTCAGCAATAACCTGCTCTTGTACCTTGTTTCAGTGACTGTCCAGTGTATAAGAGATGGTCAGTTTGTGGTAGTGGTGGCTAGAGACGTTACGCTGCCTCGATTGAGCCTGGATTCAGTCCGTCTCCTGGGTGGAAATGATCCAGCTTGCAGTCCTGTGGGATCCACACCTTTCTTTGCTATATATCAGTTCCCTGTCACTGCATGTGGCACAAGCATGATGGTGAGTAGCTGCTTGTGGTTTTGTTCTGCATGGCTTGGAATGGACTGGATTCCAATGGTTACTATTTGCAGGAGGACAGTGGATACGTGGTGTATGAAAACAGAATGACCTCCTCGTATGAAGTGGGTATGGGACCACTTGGTTCCATCACAAGGGACAACCATTTTGAGTAAGTGATGCATGCTTTATCATAAATGTTAATCCTGGACAAATGCTACAAGCTCACTGTTTGTTGTCCAGGCTTCTCTTCCAGTGTAGGTACTCTGGTACGTCTGTGGAAGCTCTGGTTGTGGAGGTCAACACTGTTCCTCCACCTCCACCAGTAGCTGCTCCTGGACCCCTCAGAGTGGAGCTTAGACTGGCAAATGGTCAATGTGTCACCAAAGGCTGTGCAGAAGGTAAGTGTTTGTCCCAAGTATGCCTAAAGCCTTTCTAAAACTCCAGTTTGCAGAAGTTTCAAGTTAAACACTGTATTCTTCCTCAGGGGACGAGGCGTACACGTCCTACTACAGTGATGCTGATTATCCGGTCACAAAAGTCTTGCGGGAACCTGTGTATGTTGAGGTGCACATTTTGGAGAGGACCGACCCCAACATTGTCTTGATGCTGGGACATTGCTGGGTGACATCAACCCCTAGTCCACTCAGTCTACCCCAGTGGGACCTTCTGGTTGATGGGTAAGGCCAGTCTTTATCCATCTAGTGTGCAGTAAGGCGTTTCTGACTGCCTCTTTGCCTTTCAGATGCCCTTACCAGGATGATCGTTACCTGACCACATTGGTTCCAGTGGCTGGATCATCTGGTCTTCAGTTCCCAACCCACTACAAGCGCTTTGTTGTGAAGATGTTCACATTTGTAGATCCAGCATCACTGGCTCCTCTGCAAGAAACGGTACAGTACCCAGTGTGTCAGTTTACAACTGTCTCTTGGTTCCTAATGTCAGCTTTGGTTCTCGTCTCAGGTCTTCATCCATTGCAGTACAGAGGTGTGCCATCCCTCTTCTGGCTCTTGTCAGCAAAGTTGCTCCAGGCAAAGTCAGTGCTTCCTGTTATTTAAACTGTTTAATTTAGTTTGTGTTGTGGGAGTGTTAATTTTTGTTTGTTTTCTTGCACTTTTAGGAAGGGACGTTCGTTTAAACACTACCACTTCTGGCCAAACTGTGGTTTCTAGTGGAGAAGTGAGACTGATTCTATGAGTATTTAATAAATTATATTAAACCTTGACCTTGTCTGACCACGTTTTGTGCAACGCTACCAACATGAAATTGTTCTTGTTTTATTTGGTATGTTGAGGACAGCTGTAACTTCCAGACTTCTACAAATCTCCCTGGGCCTCTATGGGAGGCAGGGGGATCATAAAGCACCTGTCAACTTGTTCTCATTGGTTCTTGCTGTAGCTCAAATGTGCTGTGTAACACTAGAGCCCCTTTCACACAGTGCGTTGATCCTGGAAAATTGCCATAAAATTGCTAGAGTACCTTCTGTCTGAACGCAAACACGTCCTGGGACTGATGCCGGAATCAGCTTAGTGCATAGACCCGCGGCTCTAGAGCTGCATGCGGCTCTTAAGCGCCGCCCTAGTGGCTCCCTGGAGCTTTTTCGCAAATTTGAAAATGGAAAATATTTTGTTTTAATATTATTTCTGTAGGAGGAAAAACATAACAAACATTCTTAAAGTTTTTCAATGTTGTAAAAATGTGTATAATAAATATTTAATTTCAACATTTCTGTCAACGAAGAATTTATGTCATAGACTGACACACACGTGTCTGTCAGATCGGCGTGATGCCAGACCGGTGGCTAACAAACAAACCGGCGGATGGGCCATGGATCCCAAGGGGAAAAAGAGAAATATAGCTTAGCACTCCCAACGCAATAGTGCGGCGCGGGACTAGATTTGATGGCTGAGCGCGTGCGGTAATGCACTCACTCTACTAAAACAAAATAGAAACAATTTACAGGCCAGAATTTCTATTCGTAACATGTTTGCAGCGTTGAGTGATATAGCCAATCACAGACATATGTGTTGATTTCTTGAACGCAATGGCCAATCAGAAGCATTTAAGAGACTTCCCTCACCGCTCAAAACTGACTTTTTTGTTAAGTGCTGAATTCTGTATGCTGGCAAATCCTCTAATTATAACAAACAAAGTGTGGATATTATGAAAGATTCATTGTGCAGTCAGCTTCATTGATAATAACAGAGATGTGTGAGATCGCGATGAACTGTCAGCTTTTTAGGAATTATTAAGAGCGCACTTTGCGCGCATTCAGTCATGCCAAACCATGCATTGCTTTTGTTAAATTAACAGTGGTTTGTGTTTTAATAACAAATAATTTATCAGGAGGATGTATGGTGGCAACAAGTAGGCTAACTTAAAAGTATTTGGAGGTACAGAAAAAAGTCTATTTGCGGGCGGAAGCGGGACAAAACATAAATGTTGCGGGCGGGAGAAAGAAAGTTGAGAACGTCAGTTATAACGACCCACGCATTAAAAAATGGTCGGGTTAAAATCGGGCTTGGGCTCATAATTACGTTTAATGGGCCGGGCCGGGCCGGGCCGGGCTTGATTTTTTGGGCCCGATCTAAGCTCTAATTTGTAGCCAACTTATCATTTTGATACTAGGGGGCTAATAAAGCTAATATAACACTTACAGCATGTGTTGCCTTCATTATAAGGCTTATATAAAGCTTTAAATTTTTTGCGGCTCCAGAATAATTTTTTTTTGGTCCAATATGGCTCTTTCAACATTTTGGGTTGCCGACCCCTGGCTTAGTGGAACGGTATGTAATGCGCTAGTTTATGGTCGAATCAGAAAAAAAAAAGCATGAGCGTTATTTCTTGAAAAATCGCAGATCATAAACAAACTTAGACGCTGTGGAGATATTACACGTCACATCCTGACGTCACATGTCTTTAAGGGGATGTGAATGCACTCACAAATCCAGGAAGATCACTGGCAGTGTGAATGAACCAAAATCAAACGATCCCGGGACACATTATCCGTATATTTTCCAGAATCTCTGTGTGAAAGGGGCTTAGAATGAACCTCACTGGTTCTTGCTGAAGCTCAAATGTGCTGCATAATACATGAGAATGAACCTTATTCGTTTTTGCTGAAGCTCAAACGTGCTGTATAACACTAGAATTAACCTCACTGGTTTTTGTTAAAGCTCACACATGCTGTGTAACACGAGAATGTCAATGTCACCTTTATTTATATAGCACTATTCAAACAACACAAGTTGACCAATGTGCTTTACATTCTCACTGAAAAATAGAAAGAGAAACATACTACAATAGTAATAGAATAAAGAATTAAAAAAAACATTTAAGACGAATAAGCCATGGCAAACAGATATGTCTTAAGTTGTACTTTAAAAACATGTACAGAGTCAGCATCCTTAACATATGATGGCAAACTATTCCAAAGTCTTGGCGCTACTACTGCAAAAGCCCGATCCCCTTTCTGGCTTAACTTAGTCCGTGGAATTTTCAGCAACTTTTGAGTTGATGATCTCAAGGTTCTTCCTGATTGATACTCTATTAACAGAGCTGATAAATAAGTCGGTGTAAGGTCATGGAGTGATTTATGCACCAATAAAAGAAGTTTGAAATCAATTCTATATTGTACAGGAAGCCAATGTAGAGCGATCAAAGATGGAGTGATGTGTTCTCGTTTTTTAATATTCAATAATAATCTTGCTGCCGCATTTTGGACCTTTTGCAGCCGTAAAATAGAAGCTTGACTAATACCCTTATATAAAGAGTACTGATATATAGCAGGGAAATATATTCCTCAGAGAATGAACCTTATTGGTTCTTTTGGATACTCAAAAAGTGCTGCATAACACAAGAATGAACATCACTGGTTCTCGAGGAAGCTCAAACGTGCTGCGTAACACCAGTGTGTTGCTTTTTCGAACCACAAATGGTTCGATTGATTCGTATTTTCGAAAAAGCCAAGTTTCTCCCAACACCACCTCCAGTGCGAAATCCTCTAATATGTGATTTTATGTATGTTTAATAAGGGTGGAAAAGAACAAGGAATAACTTTATTCTTGTGAACCAATGGAATCACCCAGTTGCATAAACTCCCACTCATACAAGTCTGAAGAATCATGACTGTTAACGAAGAGGGAGGGATTATCATTAATTTGCCCAAATCTGTAGAGTACAAAAAGACCAAAGGGCAGCATCTCAACAGTGTGACTAGCTGTTGAACAATGGCAGGAAGTTGGTATGCTGTTCAGTCTCTGGCACTTTGTGTCTGGTTCGGTGTTTTCTGTCATGCTGTTCCAAAGTGGAGTAATCTTCCCCAGAATCCTCAAACTCTGATGTTCCAGCAAACTGACCAGCGGTTTCAACAACCAGTTCAACAGCAAGCTAGTCAACGGTTTCCTCAGCCAGTTCAACAAGCTAGTCAACAGTTTCCCCAGTCGATTCAACAGCAAGTTAGTCAACAGTTTCCCCAGTCAGTTCAACAAGCTAGTCAACGGTTTTCCCAGTCGATTCAACAGCAAGCTAGTCAACGGTTTCCTCAACCAGTTCAACAAGCTAGTCAACAGTTTCCCCAGTCAGTTCAACAGCAAGCTAGTGAACAGTTTCCCCAGTCGGTTCAACAGCAAGCTAGTCAACGGTTTCCTCAGTCAGTTCAACAAGCTAGTCAACAGTTTCCCCAGTCAGTTCAACAAGCTAGTCAACGGTTTCCTCAGCCAGTTCAACAAGCTAGTCAACAGTTTCCCCAGTCGATTCAACAGCAAGCTAGTCAACGGTTTCCTCAGCCAGTTCAACAAGCTAGTCAACAGTTTCCCCAGTCAGTTCAACAGCAAGCTAGTCAACAGTTTCCTCAGCAGTTTCAGCCTAAGCAGCCAGTGGCACAGGCAGAGCCCCTTGACAAATGTACTGTAGCTGATTATGAGCAGATCCAATGTGGACCACCTGGTATCAGTGGTGCTGAGTGTGCAGCTATTAACTGCTGCTTTAACGGACAGCAGTGTTACTATGGGAAGGCAGGTAAGAGTGTTGAGTCAATGTAAAGGTGTTCATGTTAAACTGATCTTCAGCAATAACCTGCTCTTGTACCTTGTTTCAGTGACTGTCCAGTGTATAAGAGATGGTCAGTTTGTGGTAGTGGTGGCTAGAGACGTTACGCTGCCTCGATTGAGCCTGGATTCAGTCCGTCTCCTGGGTGGAAATGATCCAGCTTGCAGTCCTGTGGGATCCACACCTTTCTTTGCTATATATCAGTTCCCTGTCACTGCATGTGGCACAAGCATGATGGTGAGTAGCTGCTTGTGGTTTTGTTCTGCATGGCTTGGAATGGACTGGATGCCAACGGTTACTATTTGCAGGAGGACAGTGGATACGTGGTGTATGAAAACAGAATGACCTCCTCGTATGAAGTGGGTATGGGACCACTTGGTTCCATCACAAGGGACAGCCATTTTGAGTAAGTGATGCATGCTTTATCATAAATGTTAATCCTGGACAAATGCTACAAGCTCACTGTTTGTTGTCCAGGCTTCTCTTCCAGTGTAGGTACTCTGGTACATCTGTGGAAGCTCTGGTTGTGGAGGTCAACACTGTTCCTCCACCTCCACCAGTAGCTGCTCCTGGACCCCTCAGAGTGGAGCTTAGACTGGCAAATGGTCAATGTGTCACCAAAGGCTGCGCAGAAGGTAAGTGTTTGTCCCAAGTATGCCTAAAGCCTTTCTAAAACTCCAGTTTGCAGAAGTTTCAAGTTAGACACTGTATTCTTCCTCAGGGGACGAGGCGTACACGTCCTACTACAGTGATGCTGATTATCCGGTCACAAAAGTCTTGCGGGAACCTGTGTATGTTGAGGTGCACATTTTGGAGAGGACCGACCCCAACATTGTCTTGATGCTGGGACATTGCTGGGCAACATCAACCCCTAGTCCACTCAGTCTACCCCAGTGGGACCTTCTGGTTGATGGGTAAGGCCAGTCTTTATCCATCTAGTGTGCAGTAAGGCGTTTCTGACTGCCTCTTTGCCTTTCAGATGCGCTTACCAGGATGATCGTTACCTGACCACATTGGTTCCAGTGGCTGGATCATCTGGTCTTCAGTTCCCAACCCACTACAAGCGCTTTGTTGTGAAGATGTTCACATTTGTAGATCCAGCATCACTGGCTCCTCTGCAAGAAACGGTACAGTACCCAGTGTGTCAGTTTTCAACTGTCTCTTGGTTCCTAATGTCAGCTTTGGTTCTCGTCTCAGGTCTTCATCCATTGCAGTACAGAGGTGTGCCATCCCTCTTCTGGCTCTTGTCAGCAAAGTTGCTCCAGGCAAAGTCAGTGCTTCCTGTTATTTAAACTGTTTAATTTAGCTTGTGTTTTAAAAGTTGTGGGAGTGTTAATTTGTTTGTTTTCTTGCACTTTTAGGAAGGGATGTTCGTTTAAACGCTACCACTTCTGGCCAAACTGTGGTTTCTAGTGGAGAAGTGAGACTGATTCTATGAGTATTTAATAAATTTTATTAAACCTTGACCTTGTCTGACCACATTTTGTGCAACACTACCAACATGAAATTGTTCTTGTTTTATTTGCTATGTTGAGGACAGCTGTAACTTCCAGACTTCTACAAATCTCCCTGGGCCTCTATGGGAGGCAGGGGGATCATAAAGCACCTGTCAACTTGTTCTCATTGGTTCTTGCTGTAGCTCAAATGTGCTGTGTAACACTAGAGCCCCTTTCACACAGTGCGTTGTCAACGAAGAATTTAGAAAAAAATAGAAACGATTTACAGGCCAGAATTTCTATTCGTAACATGTTTGCAGCGTTGAGTGATATAGCCAATCACAGACATATGTGTTTTCTTGAACGCAATGGCCAATCAGAAGCATTTAAGAGACTTCCCTCACCGCTCAAAACTGACTTTTTTTTTAAGTGCTGAATTCTGTATGCTGGCAAATCCTCTAATTATAACAAACAAAGTGTGGATATTATGAAAGATTCATTGTGCAGTCAGCTTCATTGATAATAACAGAGATGTGTGAGATCGCGATGAACTGTCAGCTTTTTAGGAATTATTAAGAGAGCGCACTTTGCGTGTATTCAGTCATGCCAAACCATGCATTGCTTATGTTAAATTAACAGTGGTTTGTGTTTTAATGCTTTAATAACAAATAATTTATCAGGAGGATGTATGGTGGCAACAAGTAGGCTAACTTGAAAGTATTTGGAGGTACAGAAAAAAGTCTATTTGCGGGTGGAAGCGGGACAAAACATAAATGTTGCGGGCGGGAGAAAGAAAGTTGAGAACGTCAGTTATAACGACCCACGCATTAAAAAATGGTCGGGTTAAAATCGGGCTTGGGCTCATAATTACGTTTAATGGGCCGGGCCGGGCCGGGCCGGGCTTGATTTTTTGGGCCCGATCTAAGCTCTAATTTTTAGCCAACTTATCATTTTGATACTAGGGGGCTAATAAAGCTAATATAACACTTACAGCAGTGGTTCTCAACCTCTCCTGCAGGGACCCCCTGACACACCATGTTTCTGTTTTAACCCTGAAATGGCACACCTGATTCAATTAATTGAAGGCTTAATGAGTAGTTGACTAATTGATCAATTAACTAATTCCTACTTCCTACTCTAATAATGACTCATTAAGCCTTTAATTAATTGAATCAGGTGTGCCATTTCAGGGTTAAAACAGAAACATGGTGTGTCAGGGGGTCCCTGCAGGAGAGGTTGAGAACCACTGACTTACAGCATGTGTTGCCTTCATTATAAGGCTTATATAAAGCTTTAAATTTTTTGCGGCTCCAGAATGATTTTTTTTGGTCCAATATGGCTCTTTCAACATTTTGGGTTGCCGACCCCTGGCTTAGTGGAACGGTATGTAATGCGCTAGTTTATGGTCGAATCAGAAAAAAAAAAGCATGAGCGTTATTTCTTGAAAAATCGCAGATCATAAACAAACTTAGACGCTGTGGAGATATTACACGTCACATCCTGACGTCACATGTCTTTACGGGGATGTGTGAAAAATTCCGGAAGATCACTGGCAGTGTGAATGAACCAAAATCAAACGATCCCGGGACACATTATCCGTATATTTTCCAGAATCTCTGTGTGGAAGGGGCTTAGAATGAACCTCACTGGTTCTTGCTGAAGCTCAAATGTGCTGCATAATACATGAGAATGAACCTTATTCGTTTTTGCTGAAGCTCAAACGTTCTGTATAACACTAGAATTAACCTCACTGGTTTTTGTTAAAGCTCACACATGCTGTGTAACACGAGAATGTCAATGTCACCTTTATTTATATAGCACTATTCAAACAACACAAGTTGACCAATGTGCTTTACATTCTCACTGAAAAATAGAAAGAGAAACATACTACAATAGTAATAGAATAAAAAATAAAAAAAACATTTAAGACGAATAAGCCATGGCAAACAGATATGTCTTAAGTTGTACTTTAAAAACATGTACAGAGTCAGCATACTTAACATATGATGGCAAACTATTCCAAAGTCTTGGCGCTACTACTGCAAAAGCCCGATCCCCTTTCTGGCTTAACTTAGTCCGTGGAATTTTCAGCAACTTTTGAGTTGATGACCTCAAGGTTCTTCCTGATTGATACTCTATTAACAGAGCTGATAAATAAGTCGGTGTAAGGTCATGGAGTGATTTATGCACCAATAAAAGAAGTTTAAAATCAATTCTATATTGTACAGGAAGCCAATGTAGAGCGATCAAAGATGGAGTGATGTGTTCTCGTTTTTTAATATTCAATAATAATCTCGCTGCCGCATTTTGGACCTTTTGCAGCCGTAAAATAGAAGCTTGACTAATACCCTTATATAAAGAGTACTGATATATAGCAGGGAAATATATTCCTCAGAGAATGAACCTTATTGGTTCTTTTGGATACTCAAAAAGTGCTGCATAACACAAGAATAAACATCACTGGTTCTCGAGGAAGCTCAAACGTGCTGCGTAACACCAGTGTGTTGCTTTTTCGAACCACAATTGGTTCGATTGATTCGTATTTTCGAAAAAGCCAAGTTTCTCCCAACACCACCTCCAGTGCGAAATCCTCTAATATGTGATTTTATGTATGTTTAATAAGGGTGGAAAAGAACAAGGAATAACTTTATTCTTGTGAACCAATGGAATCACCCAGTTGCATAAACTCCCACTCATACAAGTCTGGAGAATCATGACTGTTAACGAAGAGGGAGGGATTATCATTAATTTGCCCAAATCTGTAGAGTACAAAAAGACCAAAGGGCAGCATCTCAACAGTGTGACTAGCTGTTGAACAATGGCAGGAAGTTGGTATGCTGTTCAGTCTCTGGCACTTTGTGTCTGGTTCGGTGTTTTCTGTCATGCTGTTCCAAAGTGGAGTAATCTTCCCCAGAATCCTCAAACTCTGATGTTCCAGCAAACTGACCAGCGGTTTCAACAACCAGTTCAACAGCAAGCTAGTCAACAGTTTTCTCCGCAGTTTCCTCAGTCAGTTCAACAGCAAGCTAGTCAACGGTTTCCTCAGCCAGTTCAACAAGCTAGTCAACAGTTTCCCCAGTCGATTCAACAGCAAGTTAGTCAACAGTTTCCCCAGTCAGTTCAACAAGCTAGTCAACGGTTTCCTCAGCCAGTTCAACAAGCTAGTCAACAGTTTTCCCAGTCAATTCAACAGCAAGCTAGTCAACGGTTTCCTCAACCAGTTCAACAAGCTAGTCAACAGTTTCCCCAGTCAGTTCAACAAGCTAGTCAACGGTTTCCTCAGCCAGTTCAACAAGCTAGTCAACAGTTTCCCCAGTCAGTTCAACAGCAAGCTAGTCAACAGTTTCCCCAGTCAGTTCAACAAGCTAGTCAACGGTTTCCTCAGCCAGTTCAACAAGCTAGTCAACAGTTTCCCCAGTCGATTCAACAGCAAGCTAGTCAACGGTTTCCTCAGCCAGTTCAACAAGCTAGTCAACAGTTTCCCCAGTCAGTTCAACAGCAAGCTAGTCAACAGTTT